CAATGTAAAAACAAGTGTATGTATCATGAAAAAAAAATCATGGTCCACGAGATTTAATATATCGAGTTTAATGTCAAAAAGTTTAACGACCGCTGCTCTATATTATATAATATTTTATACAATTTTGCGGTTGTAATTATTCTTTTTATTTTTTCTTTAAGAAATCATCTTGTCTACACAATTTTGTCATATGGATAAATCTGCTCCAAAAACTTGTCAACTTGTACAACGTAAAGAAAATTACCATAAAAATGTATGTTTCAACTAAAATAGAATTTATTTATTTCATGAAATTTTATGACCATCCCCATTATCTAATATTATGTTTCAATTAACAGATAGAATTTTTTACATCATTCAAATAGATTATTTAACTAAATATATCTAAATTGTTTTTACGTAAATATTTCTTGGTGTAATATAAAACAGTTGAAATGAATTGTGTTTTATTTATTTATTTTTTTTTAATCCTAATTAGTATAAACCAAAAAGCTATCGACCAATTCAATTTTATTTATTCAGCTTTTGTAATGTTTGTATTATTTTCCTTGCTTTTTTAAATTAAAACAGCGGTCAAAAATGATAAAATTTGGCATATACTTAATATAAAATATTGTTAAATGGGTTATGTCTATATAACAACTTACAATAGAAGGATGTTATAGTTTAAGGATCTTATAAACTTGTTGAAAGTGGTTATATACATATACTTGTGTCTGTTGGACCGTGAGTTAATGGTGAAGACGTCCGACCAAATCCGTAGGCTGTGGTCAGTTTGAGCTATAAGATACTAAATGTCATCAACTAGCCCTAAGCTATTTGAACACGACTTTACAGCAACCGCTGAACACACTACACAATAGTTTAGCAACTCTTCTGCATTACACAATCAACTATTTATTTCTAAAACAATAGCAATAAATAGAATAACTTGGCTATTATATTTACTAAGAAAAAAAATATATTTTATAAAATTAAAATTATTATTAAAACAAATGATTATAACAATTTCCACAATACAAAACTAATTATTTCTCAATTAATTCAACTCAACTGTGAATTGTGTATAAAGTTATGTACTATTTGGACGAAACTAATCAAAAGTCAATTATCCGGATTCCCACGCATGCCATATGACGAAATTAGTATAATAACGTAATTAATGAATCACGAAATTTGAAAAAGGACTCGATTCATTTTTCACGCGGTCCCGGCACCGCCACCGCCACTAATTGTTATGAGGGTTTAAGCGGAGGCCATAAAGGGCATTCAGACCTAATTAACATTCACTTCACATTAAATTAACTGCGACTTGTTAATTGAAACACACGCATACACAAACCATCCTTCCATTACCATCCCTACATTCATTTTTTTGCACACCATTCCAACTTTGCCCTCACACCCCCACTGTTGCTGCTGTCACATTCATTGCCACATTTTAAGGGTTGATTATTAATTGCTTAGCACACCAAGCCGCAACTTAATATTGATTATGGTAAACAATGTGACGTGCTTTTTTTTGTTGCGTTCTTTGAATTTATTTCCGAAAATACATTTTCGCCTCGTCAAAGGGTGACATTTCCTTCTTGACATTTCACGTGCATCTGATTATGCATAATAAAATATCTGCGAAGAACAAAACGTTTGCCCCATTTAAAATGTCAATCAATACGCATTCTCTTTCCTGCTAGGATTCATCGTGTAATATTCAAAGAATGCTGTAGAAACTTTTAAATGTTTTCCATATTCAGGAACCATTATTAATATAGATAATGCTATCTATTTAACCATAATAATAAATTCAATGTATATTTGTTGTGAACCCGAAGCAAACATTTTTTTTCCTCTCTTAATAGATAAACTGTTGTAATGTGAAAGGAAACAGTAATAACTGGATTACATAATGGCGATTTTACTGCGAGAATTTCCCTCGAGTGAGGAAATTTAATTTTCATAATTATCTTTTACGGGAAACTATAAAGCAAACTATATTTTTTTTTCTGCCGCTAAATTTAGCTCTGCTGAACAGCACCGGCGAGAATATGAATTAAAATGTGAACAATATACGTGCATGTGTTCAATTGGATTGCTGTGCAGCCTGCGAAGTTGGCAATAAATTTCCGGCAATAAAACACGCCAAACTCTATGACTAATTAGTGCTTAAACTTTGGAGAAATTATAATTATACAAGCACGCAGTCCATTGATTTTATTACGTAAAAGTATCGGAAACCGTGATCAAAGATTTCTAATTAATTACATTATTCTAGCGCAGCATTATTTTATACATTAAATATTTCTTAGAATGATGAAGTAATTTATGTCGGATTATTTCGAAGGTATTATTTGCCTCTTAAATAAATATAGGTACAAAATATTGTTAAATTTGCGATTGATAAATAATGATAATTCCCGTTACAGGCATCCTAATCTAATGATTAGGTTTCAACACATTAGAGTCTAATCTATCAAAATTGGTTAAAACTAAAGAAAAAAAGAAAAAACGTTGTATTCAATAAATAGAATAAAGAATAAATATTTAAAAATATCAAAAAAATTTCTTTTATTCATTTCATTTTATTTTATTCAAAAATTGGCATTTTTTAAACAATATTTATTATGAAAAAATAAAAAGAAAAATTCTACAATAACACTTTTAAATGATGGTGCCTACACTCCGGAATAGTCACCATCTACTTCAATAATCTACAAACATTTTATTTTAACAAGTATTTTTTCAAATTTCTAATATTGTATTTCATTCTTGATTGAAAGTCAAAAACAAATATTTGTTAATTGAAAATAATTTCAAAATTACTAAAATCTATTTTTCAATGAATGAATTATTTGATCAATTCTATAAATTTTTGATTATAAAAACACTAAAAATATAAATAGTTTTATTATTACAATGGTTTTAATGGTATTAATATAATATGTATTGACTACTACTAAAAAACTACTCATTTATATACAATAATTTTAATATTATAATTAGAAAAATGAATTATAATTAAGTATAAGTTTTAATCATAAACAATGTATATGAAGTACTTATATAAAAAGAAATTCAAATCAATATATTTTGAAATATATAGTTTAGAGTATAAATAGGCATAATCAAACAATTTATTTTTTTATATGTATATTATATGGATGATCTGTAATCCGATCTTTATATTTTTCTATAAAAAAGAGCAACCGTAATAAAGCACAACCCTTCGAAAGGTCGAATTATGAGCCATTTTCCAAATATGATCTAAATCTAGCAATCTCAACAAAAAAAATGTAAAGAAAAAAATTCAAAATAAATTCTTTAAGATTTTACAATGTGGAAAATTTTGCGTCCCCAAACAGTGTTACTTGTGGCCAAGAATCAGAATTTACTCTGCCCATCATCTTTTTTTACACATAAAGATTTGAAGTTATGTAAGTTTTTTATGTCTGGCTTTGTACAATAATTATTTAATTCTATTTTATAATACAATGGGCCGCACTGTTAAAATAGACTATTACATAAATTGGATTAGGAACAAGAAGCGTGATGGAGTTTCTTATTACATGCGGATGTGATAAAACAAAAAATATAATAGGGTGTGACATGAAAACATGTTTGATGTAAATTTAGCAGTGCCAGCGGTTGCAAATAATGTGATTTATCATACATGCACTTTATAAATTACAAACTTAAACGCAAACTTGTAATATTTTTAATATTATTTTGTTAATAAATTTATAAAACGAATATATTCAGTTTAAAAATATAAAATTAATACTTTTTACCATGAATAAGTATACGCGATTTAGTTTATCATAGCTAATGATAAAGAAATATACAAATGTGAAAGATCAAATGCATTTTACAGAATTTCAATCGTATTATGTTATATTACTACTAAAAAGTAGGTGACATCTTTCAAACCAAATTATTAGGGGAAAAAAAGCACTATTCACTTATTAATGCACTAGTTAACTTATTGGATATCTAACTGCATACTGACTGAAACTTCTAACGTATATAAAAAATTGTATATATTTTTTATTTTTTTCTGGTAAATTTCGATAAAAAATTATATTCAAGTAACTGAATATTGTACTATTTTTGGCAATAAATATTTAAAATGTTTATATTTTTATTGTATGCTTTAAATTTAAATAGTTGAACATATTATCAATCAGTTTTATAATATATACGTTTCTCTATTAAGTTTAACTGTTTTCGATCACCCAATGAATGTTTGATAGATTACTAAATATAATCGCTGAAGAGTGACAGGATTTATTTGCTATTTCGTTTTGTACAAAATATAGATTATATTTATATATCATTTATATATTAATTAATTCTAGAAGAGAACAAAAAAAGATTATATTTATATAAATCTAAATTAATAGTGTTTGTATATGTTATATACCTCGAATAGTGCCAATATCTCGCACTATTTAAAACTAGACTAATCGAGGATTTTAGAACCTCATAAACATAATCAGCACAAAAAGAGGCGATTATATAGAGAAACAAATAAAATTTAGTTTGTTTTGAAATTCTCAAACTGTACTATAATTAAGCCGCACTATGGGAGGTATTGTATTGTACTATAAAATTTGTTTCATTAAAGCTACCTTAATGATATTTTATTATTTTTAAAGTACATAATTTATATAAAACGCCTTTATTATTATTTAGAATTATTGTTTTTCTTAGGTTTACGTATTTTTTATAATAAAGTCCATGTTTTCTAACATTTTCTGGTCAATAAATTATTATTAAAAGTAATCGAAAAAAAAAGTAATATTATTAATTATTTTAAACTTGCATAAAATAATTAATTACTTCAAAATATAATTGAATTGAATTATTATAGTTATTTTTGGAATGAATTATAAACTTTATTTCTTTAAATTCGTTAACTTTACTTCGGTTCGATTTTTCGCTCGGAATGTTGGTTGTAAACACGCTTCGACGGTTGAAAACGCGGAACAGCCAAGTCACTTAATCCTATTAGAAAAGTTACAGGAATATAATGCAATAAACTTTTGAACACCCTTTTCAGCAGACGTTCTTTATTCCCGCTGATACCCGTAAATTAATAGAGAATAAAGCTGTCCTCTTTCGTTGCTGCTCTCATTTATTAATTCCGTAAATTTAATTATATCAATTTTATTGTAATTCTCTAAAAAAAACTGTATTGTAATTATCATTTCATTTCAAGATATATTATTGTTATATTCATATTATTTTCTGCCATACTTTAGGGAATATTTTTTATGAAAATAGAAGTATAAATAACACGAAAATGGCTACATTTGCTGAGTGTACTGTAAAAGATAATGAAAATTCAATAACTGAATCACATTTTTCGTTACATATATAAATATATGAATCTATGTTTAGATTATATAACAATATGTTGATTATTTATCAATAAATCACTTTCTCTATATTAATAATAATAATTTCACTAGCCCTTCAATAAATTTATACGAAATAAATTATGTTTATTATTTATAAAAATTAATTGTATAAATACATATTATTATTTCCAATAATTTTATTAATTGTTTTCATTGGGAAATATTGATAATATACATACAATTCTTCAAACTTATATTGCACAATGAAAATAATAAATTAATATATGACTTCATGAAAATAAACTTTTTAAATCATTAATATTAATTAATATAATCTGCTTTTCATATTTTCGCTTCAAAATAAAAGTAAATCTATATTCGACAAGAGAATGTTAATAAAATCACCAATATAAGCGATCTTTTTACCCCGTCATACATCAAATATGGTATGTCAAAAAAATATTATATTATATTGAAAGTTTTTCCAGGGACAACAATGTTATGAGAAAAGTTACAAAAGTTTCTTCAAATCTGTATTATGGTATTGAAATCTAATTTATCTATTTTTATAAAAATATCACCAAAATATACGTTAAAGGGAGAATAATGTTCAAGACTTTCTGTGGTATTTAAGTCTATTCATTATTTAACTGATTACCCACAGTATGCGAAGTATTGCTGTATTTCTCTTTATCATTTATAAAAATATCCAATAATTTTCCAAAATATTGAAGAATATAAATATATTTAATTTTTTTTTTTTATTCCAACGTTAAATTTGTGTTGGAAAAGTAAATGGTTTCGCTTTAATTATTCATTGAAAGGCTTTTAAGGGAAGCGAGTTTTATAACAAGTTTACTTCTATAATAAACTGTAAAGTGCTGTAATTCTATTTTACTGCAGAGCCAGCTTAAATTTTCTTAAAGCGTGATGCCGATGAGAGAAGACCGAACAGTTGCTAATAACATAGAATTTGCATAGGATGAGATGTAGGGTGAGTGACGTTGTAAATATTTACCTGCGAAGGAAATTCCGACGGCCGAAATTGGCAACGCGACTAGAATTCCTGCACCCGAATATTCGGAGGCGGCGAGTGCCACGAGAACCAAGCCCCCGAGGGCCCAGTGCGTTCCCGCGAAACCATACTGCTCGATTCCTATCCTCATCATTAAAAATAAAGCACCGAAATAACTGAAAACACATAGGCAAAAATCAAAACATACTACATTAATCGGTTTGCATTAATTGATTAAATTGCGGAAAGTAAATAATAATAAAATAATTTATTTAAATTTAACATCGAACTATTAAAACTATGTAATAAATTTGAAAACTCACCTGCAGCAATTTCACGCCGGATCCATAACTATGTAACTATTGCGTTTGCTAATTGTTATGAATTTTAGTAGGAAACGGAAACTGTCGTCGATGTTTTATTTTCTTTTCGTGAAATCGGTGTTTCTTCGGAGGGAGTGAAACGTGTGTGCGTACCGGAGGAGTTTTCCAGCACGTGTACTTGGCCTGCAATGCCGCAGTAAAATAGTCGATATTTCCATGAACGCAGGCGCCATTCTGTCTCTATCCCTATTACAGGCTACATCTATACTTAAAAGTAGATATTCCGTCCAGGTTGTTTTCCTAAGGTCGAGTTACCTTATGTGATAAGAAACAAAAAAGAAAAGAAAGAAAACAAACGCATAGCCCTATTATTTTCATCCGCAAGTGCAATAACAAATGCTGCAATCGGATGTTTTCATTAGTTCCGAGCAAATGTTGATTTGATTCGTTCGAGGCGCACACGAGACTGGCAATATACAATTTTATATATATATGTTGCGTTGCGTACATTCTACGAACAAATATTTAAATTATTTAACGTCACCCTTGACATAACAATATTATCAATGGTAACAAGCGCGGGTTTATTACTTTATAAGCTGAGTACATTTTTACAATATTTTTAGTGTAGACTAATTAAGCAGACAGCAATATTTCGTGATCTATATTTACGCAGTGTTTATAAATGCATATAGTGAAACCTCGCTTAACGAGTTTATTCCATTCTAAAATTTTCGGATTTTTACTCGTATAGTAAAACATATTCAAACATACACATAATATGTGCACACAAGTTTTAGAAATGGTGTAGCAGGCGCGTAATCCGAGACTTCTCTTCTCATCGTCACTCGTTATGCGAAACGTCGCTCGTTAAGCGAGTAATTTTTCTCACAAATCATTTTGCTCTTTAAGCAAAATACTCGTTTCACTGTAATCGTAAAATTTAAAAGTAAACTACATTCATTAATAAAACAAACGCTATCGAGTTTTATTTCAATCATTTAACATTTAATAAACTTGACAAATAAATTAATTGATACATTTATCCGCGAATCGAGCCCAACTTTAATATTTCTTTTGTAACTTACCTTTTGCTCTTCAATATATTCAAAGTTCTTCATTCTGATGAAAACTACATCTGCTATGCTTTAAAAAGTTTGGATTGAATCCACCGAATTTTGTCAATATATAATACGTTTCCTATTAGCAGCAGTTGACAAACAACATAGAAATAGTATTTGATTTGCATAAATGTATACAATGTTTTAATAAAATTCCTAAATGTATGTTTCTATATAACCTTCGTTTCGTTTCCAAGTGAATACCTTTTCTATAACAATTATATTAATTATTCTTAATTATTTCAGAGTAATATATTTTCAATATTTAGTTTTAGTATGTCCAATTTTGGTAATTGAAAGCCGATGTATCTTTACCACAAACAGATATTTTAAAGTAGGACTGTGGAATATAGAAATAGAAATTAAGATTCTATTTTCTTCTTAAAATTGCACCAAATGATAATAATAAATAAGGATTATCTGGATTAGCATTGAGACTTCAATACAATTTGCTCCAATCGTACCACTGCGAAATAACGAAACAATTGTAATTGGATCGTGGCTGACCATGTACGTAACGTTTTATATTTTATTGGATATTGATTTCGAACAGTTAAAATAGAGCCCATAACGTGTCAAACAAATAACAAGTAAAATCAATAAAGTGTACATTGATTGTATCTACGTATTTCAAGCTTTGCATCAATATATTATATATTTTAATATGATTAACATGAAACTCACTGTTAAATCAGCATTACTTTTATTTATTACTGTAATAAGAATTCAAATGTTATTTGTCAATTAAATATTATCAATTTAAATTTAATTATTCTTATCGAATATTGAGTTTTATTATTTAAATTAGCACTTTTCTGCTCAGCTTTTCACATTTTTTAGGTATTATATCTATAATTTTTGTATATTGGATATTATTATTATATTATTCGTTAATTAAGTTGTTGATATTTCTAATTTTTCAAAATTCCTATGATCTTAAAACTTAATTTAATATTATTAATAATTAAAACATGAATATGGCTGTAAAACAATAAATTACGTTAATTAATTATGTTTAGCTACAAAAATATAACCAGGACGTTGCGTGTTACATAAACTGCTAGGAATATACATGTAGTTAATGTGCTTTTACATCTTATTAATAAATTATTAGTCGTAGACAATTCGAGTGTAATGTGTAGATAAATACTGTAGATTTATATTTTGTATAACCCGGCTCATCCGCCATTTTATTTTAAATATAGCAGTGCTTTGCATTGTTCGGATTAAATAAGTCCGGACCAGAGAGTTGAACCAGAAAATAGTATAAAAAATATGTTTCTATAATAAAAATTATAGTTTTTTTTTTCATTATATACAACTAAAGTCATCGATTAGTCTGGTTTAAACATTCCGGGATATTAGCGGAATCCGCACTATTCGAGGTATTTGCTATACACAATTTATTTTGTTTTCATATATAAAAACAGCAAATTAATATTTCTAAAATTGAAACAATGTAAGGTGTATGTTGAGCAAGGTTCCAATAGTTTCATTTTTGATTATACAATATCTACTTAATTTACAATTGTATTGTAAATGGAATATTATTATTATTGTTATTAAATATACACTTTTAAAGTTTTTATGTTTGGATTTGATTTATTAATACATTTTCAGCATTTAAAAGCCAAATCACTTAAACTTTCCTTTATGAAAAGAAATTACCGTACGTATCTTTAAATAATAAAGAGCGTAAAATACCTTAGCTTGAATATTATATAGATGACTCACTTGGAAAAACTTATTTGGCCTAATTCTATAGAAGATGCATTATGTTCTATATATGGAACTCTCAAACTAATATCGGAAGTTTGGTTTTTGAATCCAGCAAACATATTAAAACTACATATGTTTTCTTTTACATAGTTAGCAGGTTTTTCTTTTATTTATTGCAACAAATTACTATACTACAAACTCAACAATATGAATATCAAAACTAAATTGATCTGCTGCAAAGGGCTACCGTTCATAGGTCTTTTTGCCCTAGATATATATATATATATATTTATTTCATTTATAAAATCATATACAAAGAACTTGAGATTAATTTTCTTAAATTAAAAAGAAAAGAGATAAATCTGACTATAGACCATTTACTCATTAATTACGTTATTTTGAAAAATCAATTATAATTTTGTTCAACACAAAACCCACTTCTATAATAAAAGGTAGGTCAAACTACAGATGAGTCTTATATTCAACATTATCATAAATAATTATGATGACTTAATCTCTTTATAATTTGCTTAAAAAAAAAATAGCATTTTAGTAAATAACTCGCATAGTTCTTGTTTGATCAGTTTGGATTCACTAGGTATAGTATGATTTTTGTCAGCGAAATGCTGAAGAGTGCGGAGAGCTTGGAGATTGTAGCGGTGTACATAACAGAGTTGCTACTAATTAAAGAAGACGAGCGAAGGCTGGTGAGGATAGTGGCAGTTGATGCCAGCACTAACATGAGTAGTACAGTGATACAGGTCCTGTATGCTGACGAAGAAGAGGAGAGGTTTTAGTGCGGTAGGAATCCCACAGTACCACGACTCCACCCGTGGTTCCTATGTAAGGTTTCCTCTGCTCTACAAAAAAAAGGTATAGTACGATTTTAAAATTAAAAGTAAATGCGATTTTAAAGTTCAAATACACTTTCATTTAGCAATTACAGACCAAATCACTTTCAATTTCCTGATGATCTGAAATATAATTGTTGTCAGTTCGAAAGTGGTAAAACATTTATAATATGTGTTCTCTTATATAATAAATTATTCTTAAATCAAAGAGCATATCTCCGAATAAAAAAATATATACATTTCTAATTTATAAAACTCCGACGCAGTTAAAATGTAACATAAAAACATATATTTAATGTTGAAAGCAAAAAAGGGTTACCAATGAGTTTATTTCATTTTATAAACTGACCATAATATTAATAATATTCCTAAGGAGGAATTTTTAATTCTGGTAATAGTATGTTTACCTCTGTAAACGAAGTTTGGATAAGTTTCTATTCATTCAATGTATGACTTTTTATATAAAGAAGGAGATATATTGTTGTATTGTATATTGAATATTGTATATTGAATGCCTGAGGTAATTTATAAAATAACGAGTAAACTAAACTAGATTTAATTGCAATTAGTTTTTAAACAACATTATACTATAAACCACAATAACAACAATATATTGTTGAGAAATGACTGAAGTTAATTACTACCTGCCACTTTAGTTTTAAAACAGAACATTATAATCACAAATCTTTTTTACTTTAAATCTCCATCTATATATTAATTACACGATGCTACAATTTGAATGGATAAAATCATTAATCTTCGAGCGCACGTTTCATTTGCATTAAAAGAAACGTTATTTCTTCATCCAAATTGAATTCCTCGGCAATTTTTGTTTCGACCGAAATAATACGGCACACGATTGCGGAGGGTAAGGGGAGACGCGGAATAATTCACGGGTCGTGGAGCCATTAGCTTAATGGCCGTAATTAAATCGTCTTTCATCGAAAATCGATTTTGGATTATAAAACCATTAACTGCTGCAATATTTACTTTTGAACGTTCCGCGATGTTAACTTTTATTGTTCAGAAATTTTTAATTTACGAGACGAGCGCAATTTCAGGAACATCAGGCATCGAATGAAAACGCAAATATTGCAAATATAATAATAAAGTTTGCCAAAATGGCTTGGATATTTATAAATTCACCTGGATCAAAATCAATCACCGTCGACGTAGTGATTAAGTATGTAATCGCTGGAACACGTGATCCATTTACTTTGATTACGACAATGCAAAGATAACCGGACGTTATTACGAAACACACGGTCCTCGCGTAACCCAAAAGATTAATTCATTCTGTAATTTATGATTCCAAAATGTAAATTCTCTTATTGTCTAGACGATTTTTTTTATTAAAGTAATATCATTTATGTTACAAAATTATTTACACATTATTAATATATATACACACAACATGTGTTGCTACTTCTTCCATTAAGTACTTCGAAACGAAATAATTGAAACAAATATGCAGATCAAAGGATGTTATTGCTGTTGAGGCAGCAATCCGGCGTGTTTCAAAACTAGGAATATTTCTCTCCTATTTATCTTTTCGGCTTCCCTGTCGAAGACAACATTCTCTCCGGGTCCGAACCACGAGCTCCTCGCCAGAGCCTGCCGAATCCTAGGGTCTTTGTAGAAGGGATTTAACAGGTTGGGCGGCAGCTGCGCCTCGTGCGATGCTGACTGGAGCACTGCCCTGTGCCTGAAATTGTCCGGGTTCAACTGTGCCAGGGCCAAGGAAAGGACGCATCCGAACAGAAAAGATACAATTGTCCACCTCATTGCGTCTCTTAGGAAGATCTGAAAACAAAATAAAAATAGGTGAAAGTGATCAAAACGCGCATCTTCCGTTAAAACTATGTAAATTCAAAATTCTCCAAGAATGCGATGTAAATAAATCATGTGTTAAAGTGGAAGAAGATTAGCATCATTGCTGTGGTACATCTTTTCGTTGGTAACGGAGAAAGTAAACATTTCACTTTTCTACCCAACTAATTGATTATACCTTCCTCGATTTCATTCGTTCGTTCATGCAACGGATGAAATACATTTGAATTGCTTAAATATCCGATGTCAAATTACTTTGCTACTAAATTGAATATAAAGAAATCGAATTTACAACAAAAAACTGTTCTTACGCAATTAAAAAAAACATAAACGCGCGATTATCCTACATTGCATAACTGACCGGTTGGATTGTCTCATCTTTCCGTTTCCTGCATTTCATACCATCCACATAGAAGATGCGGTGAAAGTTGGAGATGCAAATATAACATAATACTTAGTTCCGTATATAGCGCGAAAAAAAAGCACGCACCGAATCTGGGCTCGGCATTTGAATAATTATTTCTTAACGATGAATTCTGCTTGAGAAAAAAAAAACAGAAAAGAAAACGATTGTAATTAATTCTCGGCTTTCCCGTAAAACTATCCATCGCGTTCTTTTTTTTCCGTAATTATTTTCAGGTCAAGACTACACATCGATTGTAGGCAAACGCAGACGAAGAGAGTACTCATTCGCATACAATTGGAATGCAATGTAAATGATCATTATTTTAAGCTCAAAATGTTTATTGCATGTATTGACATCAAAAAACAAATAGATTTACAGATGAAAAAAGCAATTCGAAAGATTTTATAATAAAGTGAAAGTGATTGTTTATGTTATTATTATCATTATAGTTATGTGTAATTACTTACTCTCTTGTTTTGTAGATTATTAACTTGATTCACTGAAACATTCACTTTGGGTCAACTGGACGCGATCAGCCGTAGCCTATCGAAATTATTGAATGAACTAAAAGTTATTTTCGCTACTCATCAAATATACCGGGGATCCTCCTTGACACTTCTTTTAGTGGGGTGATACATTGCTCTTGACCACTCACCTTGCCCGACGCTCATTGTTTTCTTCTCTACTGTTTGTGTACCTCTTAATCCTACGGTACATTTCACAATCTGAGTCCGCCTGCATTTGCATAATATCAAACGGACAGCTCGCGCGGTGCATTTCAATTAGTTCATATTAACCTACACTAAACCTTGCACACTTACCAGTTAGACACTTCATTCGCCCGCACATTATCTTAATTGCGTAACGAAATCAATGAATTATTAATTATTAATATTCGTTTCAATGACTTTACGATCGCAGAGCGCACATTGCGTAAGAGCAAACTTTAATGTAACTACTATTTAAATACCTAACATTTCTTAAAATATTTATGCTTTGGCTCGTTACAATGATTCATATACATTTTAATCAATATTATTAACATTACACAAATTATTTCCATTTTTTTTTTTGTCGAGAGAAGAAATTAAATGATTACATTAATTTAATTATAATTTTGAAAGGAATTCGCGTTTGACAAAAGCAATAAACCTTGGTGGTCAAGGAGACCCACCGTTTATGTAGATGATAAGGTTTTGCTGGTGATATGCGGGGCTAATTCATATTCTGTGGGGATATACGGTGTAAAACGACGAGTCCTCTTTAATTTGTGGAAATCGAGTTAGTTCGTACTTGATTTCTAGTCAGCAATTTTCCCATTAGTAAGATTTCGCAAAATATATTATAATTTAGTAATCAATGCCCATGAAATGTTGAATCTTTTATTGATACATTAGGAAATCTCAAAAATCTCCTCATCCGCATGGAGAAATGAAGGTTATCTTCTTGATCGAATACGGCAAATCAAAACATTTTACTAATAGGAACTTAAACTTAGATTTTTTACTAAATTACAGATACTAATTGTATGTTATTATGTTCTCTTACATATATGTAAAACTAAAACATTTCATTTTCCTAACAGAATTTTGGTTTTCCAACAGGCAAACTGGCAATTAGGTACATCTAAATTTATTACTGAAATTATCTCATGTTATTAATTATGCTTACTTCATTTGTAAAAATATAATTTCATTAACTTTGTAACGTATATTCTCTGCATGCTTACAAATCCAAACTGCACCAATTTAATATTAATATTCATATTATACTACTTTCTCGTCTGCAAAATCATCTTTAAAGATTCAATATTAATTATTTGTTAGAACTTTTTTTCTATTATTCTATTAGGGCCAATAATAAATTGTAAATAAAGATTTATATTACTAATTATTTTCAATAAGAAATAATCATTATAAATAAAGAATACATTAAAGAAGCATTTTTATTACATGTCTGTGATGTGGATCAAATATTTTGATTATATAAATGCTATAATAATAATTTGATCGTTTTATTTATAAGAATAAAAATAATTATGTTACATTGTCCCAACTCTTCCATTAAATTCTCCTTAAATCGAATATAAGTGTTAATAATAATAATGAAATATATTAGAAATGTTTGTATATATTTTGTTATAATTGTTATGTAGGACAAATATTTTTTTAAATATAAGTAAATAAATTAAATCTTTCAACAATTTGTAGATGAAATATTTTTAAATACAATGCATTAGAATGTTTAAACAATTGATTAACGTTTTTTTTTTATCATAAACCATTTTCCATACTTTAATATATAGTAATTTTTAAATAAAAAAATGTTTTTTTATACATTATTTTAAACAAATATTACAACACTATTAGTCATCAGACGAGGTTTAGATAGCACAATTTTAAAACTTTCTGAAAGTGTAACTTTCACATTGATTGGATTAGTTCCATGTTCTTCCTCATCTTCAGTCGCAATTGTTATGTCTTCGCAATATAGACATGGTTTGTACATTTTGAACCGTTCTTTGACCGTTCACTTTCCGCGTATTTCGAAATACGCTGTTATTATAAATATTATCATATTCTATCACATATTTAATACATTAGATTATGACCTTTCAAATAAATTAGAAATTAGATAATGATAACAAACAATCTATTTTGGAATCATATTTTAGAAATGAGATTTTAATTTGTAAGACTTTTCTTTATTCGAAAATCGTTTTTTATTTTGTTTACAATGGAAATTTTTCCCCAGTTTTCCTATTATGGCCACAATAATTTTACATCTAAAACAAAAATTTCGCTTTTAGATGTAAAAAATAAGTAATAAGTTTGGAATTTTCAATAACGTTGCGTTGTTTGCAATACATAAATATCGCCAATATTCAAGTTGCTGTTGGTATGGACAACACATAAACATAACATTAAAATGTTATGTTTTTTATTAAATAATGTTACAACTTCGTATGACCATCAGGTGATATTTCATAATCTGCGTATTTTTTACGAATAGCAATTCCAAAATTTGGCAAATCCACATATTTGAAAATTGATTTTTTTAGATTCCAAATTCTCCTTTAATTCAATAAATCTTCTTGCAAGAACTCAATATCAGCATTTTATAAAATAACGAAAATTATTTCGATTTAAAGCAGAAATTAGATATTTTAGAGCAAAATCAAAATACGCTTTCTTGATACAATCAATTTTGTTGCCATAAATTTATTAATCTCCAAACGCTGCAAAAATTGCCTTTCAACAAATAAGAGTTTTCATCTTCATTTTATACATATTAAAATTATTATTATAATTAATAAAATTTAAAAACGTATAATGGTGATCTAACTAACTTTTTTGGGAATAATATTTTTTCCTGTGCATGTAAAAATGGTGAATATTTTCCAGTCTGTAATAAGTTTTGATTTTAGAAAAATTGGGATAAATGATACACAAATATAGGTAATATAAAAAAATATATTTTATTCTTAAATAAAAAAAGCAAAAAAGTATTCTAGTTAAGCCTAATCAAGTTAAACCCTTATAGAAGCTGCTCAACTTTAAGATTGTTCTTTATATATTGTAATACTTGATGCAATACATCTTTGTTGGCTAATCCATCATCCCAAATTAGCTCTATGTGCAATCCATTCACATCTTTTCTAATAATAATGGATGCTTTCAGGAAAACAGCACAGACATCCATGGTGTTCTCATCCTCCAGCTTAACGCGTTTGCAATTGTAATATCCGTTATCGTCTTCATATTCTCGCTTCGAAGGACTTCGAACCTGCAAATCCGATATCAGATTCGTGGCCGTATCTATGCACGGTGGACTCTTCGGGCTTGCTGCCTCCATAACAGCTTGACCGTCAACAGACTCGTGTCCTGAATCGTCGCTCCTATTCATTCGCTGTTGTTCCCTGCGTTTGCGTCTTTGATTGGACCACCTATTCGAATGTGCTACTATATCGTATGCAATCACATTTTTGCTCTTTTTCACCAATTTTTGATCTATCTATAAACAATAATAACAACCATTAAACTCTTGCAAACTACTGTGCTTTTGCATAATCACCATAAGCTCATTGAACATGTTTTGAATTTGAGTGGAAACTGATTCTACTAAAATATCTTTGTCGCCTATTGGAATTGTATACTGGTATGGGTGTTTTATTTTCTGCTTCTTCAGCGCTACAAGTGTGGCATGCGGAATTTTTCTCAAATCTATATCACAATAAGTCCAGGCCAAGCCCCACCTCGTCGTGTTGCCCTGGCAAAATTCAGTTTGCTTAAAGCTGAGTACGTCCATCTCCCTCAGCAATTTTTTTATAGGTTGTAAACTGACTTTGTGTCCAACCATTGTTGTGTAAATCCTTAAATATAAACAATCACATCTGTTCTTAAAATAAATTAAATAAATGCATTACTTTACTTTCTGCTGCAACTCTCTGCTTTCATTCACCAATTTAGTAATGAACTCAACTTCACCTCCCTTAACGACGACTTCGCCTTTCGCTGCACAGAACGCATTTTTAGGTCTCGGTCTAGTTTGCTTTCTGGACTTAAATTCAAATATAGTCTCTTGTTGCGAAGAGAAAAACGGCGGATTGCACATGCAGAAGTCATATTCATCACCTCCAACAGCTTCTTTTAGCAAACTCTCATCCATTATACCCTTAACTAAAGTACAAAATAAAATGTAATAACAAAACTTAATACTCAAAAGCAACATTACCTTTAATTTTTGTATTTAAACTATTTCTCTCAACATTACTAGTAGCATATGCAATACTCTCTGAATCAATTTCTGTAGCCAGCATGGACCACCCCAATTTCTTGCTAGCTATTAATGGATATACACATGAAGCCCCAGTCCCTATGTCAATGCCCTTTATATTTTCAGTTCGCTTTGAAATCTCCAACAAATCTTCAATCCACAAAATATAATTCAATCTTAAAGGTATTGTTGGAATCAATTTATTCAAGGGGATGTCCACATCCAAGTCAAAATCCTTTTTCAATAATGTCTGGCTCAGTGCTCGGACAGCTTCTACATCTTTGAAATCTAATGATACCTTCCCTGTCAGCTCCTATAACATTTGATTTATTGTACATTTTCTAATCAACAATCAATAACATCCTACCTGTTTCACATGCTTCCTAAATTCTGGATATTCAATTGCCAAAGTTTTAAAATTTGGTGGTGTTTTATAAATATTCCTAGGATGCATATATTTACTCATAGACATCTTCTCAATAAGAAAAAGGAAATCTAAAAATCAAGTTCAAAGAAGTTATTTAATGTTTTTACTACTGTACAAATTGTACACTAAGAGCCTGACTAAGAGTTGTACACACCAGTTGTAGGTTATAATTTAAAATTAATGTTCACTTATTACAATAATGTTTCAAACTAAATTCGTTTTTAATCTTAGTTTTTTGTAGCAAATATCTTAGGTTATATTCACTTTAACATTTTCCGGTTTAAAAAAAACAGCACCTCCATCTATGGTAGGCTAGGCTAAACTCTTTTGACTCTATGATGCTCTATGGTTAATGAGCTCACCGCACTGCTGCAACTGGCTGACACTACAACAAACGCAAACACGAATGCATAAATATTTTATACGGCTTTATTTTTAATTAAATAAGTAATTCAATAATAACAATTCAAACAAAAAAAGTTTGTACTTTTTAACTTAATTTTTTATTTTTTTTTAATTGTAAGCATACTAATTCATGTTTTTTGTTTAATTTTTCCATATAGGTCAACCTTTTTTGCAATTGCCTCCTGCTTTTTCCTCTAGATTTTTTTAAACCACCTTTCTTAATAGCATGCACATCTTTACCATATCTTCAATATGGTCCTATCCAGTCCTCTCCCATAACTTCAATATGGGAATTCTTGATCTCTTCAGTTCGGTCAACTTGTACTGTTTTACAATACACTTGATTCAAATTAATAAGATTGTTGTCAATAGTTCTGGTACTATCAGCAACAACACTTATTTCTTCAGTCTCAACATGTGCTGTTGTACAATACGAGTGCTCTGAATTGCCAATCATTGAATCACTATCATCAACAATATTACTTTGGTCAACAACTACATATTTGATATTTTCGGTCAATATTGGAAAATCGTACATCAAGAACTTTAGTAGTTTTCTGTAGTTTTCAGGAAAATGATGTTAATGTTACTTACTTGCTTGTCTTTGTCGTAATCAAGATGGTCGAAACACGTTGAAATAAAACAAGACTTGATAAAATTGGAACACGCAAACTACAATAAAAGTTTTTGTCGTAATATATTCACAAAACCGGCGGCATAAACTCAAAATATTTGATATATTTATGTATACTGTGAACATTACATTCCTAAACTCTGTAAATATTAATTATGAATAAATTGAACATTTTTATTTCAAGTTTTCAACCTTTACACAAAGTCCAACTTTACACTCAAACAGTATTTGAGCACACATGAGCAATTATTTTTTTTGTCTAACTGCAAAGTTCCATATTTTTGTAAAATTTGTCTCATAATATTTCTAATTTAGGCAAAATAGATAAAACGTTATAAAAGTTAATACAATAATATCTTACAATAATATACAGAATGTTCTCACGAAAGTTTCATTTCGTCATCTACTGGCCACAACTTTGCTAAAGGGTTAAAGATATTAGAAATGCGTAATTTTAATGTCTTTCTCATTTGAAATGGGCTTTCCGGTAAGCATGTGTACAATAAATTTTATTTAATAATATTTAAAATAAAACATCAATTCGAACCAACAAGAGTATACTTGATTCTTCATGCTTTTTATTTTGTTTAGATAATTTTTAAATAAAATAAAAAGATTTTGTTCATGCAATGTAGAAGGCGCGCAATCCGGGTCTTCTCTTCTCATCGTCACTCGTTATGCGAAACGTCGTTAACAAGTCATTTTTATTACAATTAATTTTGCTCGTTAAGCGAAATGGTCGTTATGCAAGGTGCTCATTAAGCGAGGTTCCACATATTATGTGTATTTTTGAATATATTATCCATCTTCGATTTTCTTTGTCATCTTTGTTTAAAGCGGACTATAATTTGCAAATTAATTTGTGTTTGCTATAAATACAAAACACAAATGTATTGTGTCCAACTATTATTATAATATATAAACAAATATAAACTTCATAAACTTCAAATAAAATATTCACCGTGTGTGAATTAGAAAACAGTACCTAGTGTTAGTGGTTATTCTAGTTGTATCTTAGTGTTGTTTGTGATCACAAAATGTTCATACTTGTGTTCAGACATGTTATTTGTGATTTTTTTGTGCAAAATTTAATAACATTGGCATGTCTCCGAATAAAAAACTGAAGAATAAAAATAACCAAAGATATGAAAAGCAAAATCATGAAAAATCGAGAACAAGTTATACTTTTTTTCTCCGACATGGAACGGATTAACGAAATTTACATTGATTTATATGGGGAAAACGTGTTTCACTATACGAGTAAAAATTCGGAAATTTTGGAACGGATTAAACTGGTTAAGCAAGGTTACACTGTATATATAAATATGTTTTTATAAATTGTTAGTAAATTTTATAATTTTCACAGTAACTACTACCAACTTCGTTATCGACTGGTTCAATGCTTACTATTTATGGTCTTCCACAAAATATTGTATTAATTGTATTACACATTTTGGATATTATTAGTGGAGCCCGTTGACGATAACTTCAAGACGGGTTTCATGTGGATTTAATATTGTAATATTAGATTAGTACTAACTGTAATATTGGTATAAAAACAATCTATGTTTCACATAAATTAAACCATTATACGTACGTGCAATTTGGACTAGGAAAGATCGGATACAAATAATATATAGATTTCTTAAAATTGCTTTATTTGAATAAATAGGAAAATTGCCATATATAAATTATTGAATTATAAAATATATTGTCTTATATATTTCTAAATTAAAATATATAATTAACAATAATTACATTAATGTTTACACCAAAATGTATTAAAATGAACAAAAAAATGCATCACACCACTTTCTACTCCTTCTTTCCATTGTTACCATTCTACAAAGAGAACAAAGAGATAATATTTTGATATTTAGGTGAGCGAACTTATGGATGGATGAACGAATGAAGAAGAGAATGAGCAGAATGTGTTTCGTCAAGCGTTAGTTGTAGTGACCATAGCTTAATGATAGATATTTTGTGGAATGATTACTCACCTCCCTTACTTTCCTAGAAATTGTCTCACTGATATATTTCAGTATAGAGTATTCCACCTTCATTTTTTCCCACTTCTTGCTTGGAATAACCATCAGTGTTGTCGTGGTATTTCCAATGAATAAAACCAAAAACATTACACTTAATACTGACACCTGCAGTAAAAAAAAATGTTATCAAGTATGTCAATCCAGGAGTATCGTTATGTCTACTTACATGCCAAGTAGCCGTCGGGTGATAACTGAGCTGCATTAAAACATAAGCATTGTAAAGTTGGAACAAATAACCACCAAAGAGGAATGGAATTAAGAAACTCAATCCACGCCACATCCAAGAATGGAATCCTTCGATAGTTATGTCCATGTTGTGTCTTTCACCCAAGGCCTTCAACCTGTATAATACTCCCATCTGGTATCTGAATTGCAAATACTGAACGACACCTGGGCCCAAACCAATGAATTTATCGAAATTTACGTGTGTTTTATAACATACTTATATAACAATTGAACATCATAAATTGATTGCGGAAATGCTCCCATGTATCCACATCTGGCCAAATTAAAAGAATGCCCGCCACAACAGTTGATAGGAAGTGATGGAATCTCCACCATCCCTTGATACGCGAACCATTTACTTTTAATATACTTTCTCTTATAGTTAAAGTACAATAATACCATACTAATAAGAAAATGTAACTTAACTCTAACGGTCTAAAAAAGTAGTTAGTATTTTAAATATAATTAAATCATAAATCGTTGCTATTTATAGACATTTCATTATGACGATAAATATGATTTTATAAGCTATAAAATCGTCTATTTTGCTTACCTGAAAATAACAATTTGATTTAATACGGAGAGTACGAAACCGATCATACTTAATATTAATTTAAACTTTTCATATTCATCTTTGTATTTGAACCTGGAAAACATATACATTAAATATAGTCCAAAGTGAAATGCATAATTTTAGATAAAGTTCATCAGATAAGATTTGAATTAGACAATGGCTTAGTCAAAAATATTAAATTGATAAAACATTGGTTCAGCAAACATTGATCTTTGAAAAAAGTTCAATGGGCCAATATGTTCTATAAAATTGATACTTACTTCTCCTCCTTGTTCAATATTGAAACATTCACATTGCCCAATATAATCTTCAAATACATTCCATTCTGTTTGGGTAAGGTTTGCTCAATATCTTGCAATTTTGCCTTACGTTCAATTATCCTACCTTCAAGCTCTTGGATCTTCTCCTTATCACCTCCCTTCTTTGTCAACCTTTTGATAGAATTTGTACATTATTGGAGAATACTATCACATGTAAATATAATCCCACTCACTCTGTTATACTCTTTGATATAATGCCCATACGGTAATTCTGATGTTTTATGCCTTCCATGCATTTCTTTTGTAAACTTGCCAATTCAGACAACTTCTCCTGGTAAATTTTATTGGAATTCTATAATAAAACAAATGATATGTAATAACATAATGTTGCAGACAAATTGGTTTGTTTTGTTTTATAATTTAATTAAATTGCATTTTTTTTTAGATAACATGACCTTGTCAGTATGAAAAGTATTCAATTCTTGAAATGACTTTGAAAACAACTTTAATTATAATTGAACAAGAAAACATTTACCAAAATATTTATCAAGGATTACAGGGTGACAATAAATTATTCTTGTTGATTCTGAATGTAATTCAGATTATTATTCAAAATCATGCATTAGTATCATACACATTTATTACTTCATTGATGATTAGCCTTTGAAATAAAACACAATATGTTAATTAAACATTGACAAATTGGAGTGTCAGATATGTTGAGTAATTATTGATTAATTGATACTGAATTGAGGAAATTTTTGGACTCTGCTGAATCAAAACCTACCTCTAGCACTTTGTAATCATTGGCCAGACCTTCCCATTCTTCGAATATGCTTGTGTCGCTCATATTTGCAGCTCAGGGGGGCTCACACAAATTAAGATCGCAAATTTATACCGAATATCATGCAACAAATGCATACACCACACACTAACACAAATGCCAGCTTCTAATAAATTAGTTTCATACTTTACACTCTATGTATTTGTGATCGGCCGATACGAGCCAACTTTTTTTTCACTGATAACGACCAATATCTGTGCGAGCAATATGATGATGATCGTTCAGTACATAACCTTGAACCTTGGGAATATTTGATTTTGAAGGCAATCAGATTTAAAGAAAAAATTGCAGGTATATTTTTGTTCGATAAAACGTCGTTAACACATCAATATAGAATGGGTTATTTCCATAATATACCTGGCAATTTATATATTTTTGGGGGGGTATGTTTCGTGGATGATAGACAGCCAAACATACATTACACTTTTAACATTTGCCTATTGATTTTATATTTTTTTATTCAATTTATATGATAATTTAATCAACTTCTATATAAATCACTTCCAGTATATTCTTATATTTCAATTATTTGTAATTTGAAAATCTAGTTACAAATAACTGGATTTAGAAGAATATGTTCTAAATTAATACACTTGTTATGTGAAGCTTTATCGATCGTACATATTTTAATATATTTGTATCATATCCTGGAATTAAAAGTAAACATTAATACACATTGAAAACTTCAAATAATTATTCTTTATTAAATATACTGCAATTATTGTATGTTCTATTTGTTTTACCACAGACCCAATGAGTTCGAAACAGAAACTCTCCTGTTTCTTATAATAAAATGTATTAATCTAAATGTAGTTATTACAGTGGAAACTCGCTTAACGAGTTTAATCCGTTCCAAAATTTCGAGATTTATTAAATTTTGCACAAAAACACAAATAATCTGTCTGATCACTTAGATGCAACTAGAATGACCACTCTAGTGTTAGTGGTTTCCAATTACACCATTCACACACGGTGAAGTGAGTTTACATTTCTTTATATTACTTATATCAATCCGGGGTTTTGGTGGAGGTCTCTTTATACTTTTAATATTTGTTTATATAAAAAAGCGTACATAGTTTGTTTATATATTATAATAATGGTTGGACATAATACATTTCTACTTTGTATTTACAGCAAAGGCAAAGACACACGTTAAGCGACTCGTTATGCGAAGTGCTCGTTAAATCCACTGTATATACTTGTTATTTATGTTAAACTACAAACAAAGCTAAGCGAAATTCTGCTTATTGCTTCTTATTCCGTTTATAATTTATATATATATGCTGATTAATATGATGGAAATGACTAATAAAGTTCTTCAATTGTTTTATTTTTGTGGAAAAACCACAAAATATAAAAAAACTGTCGTTTGAATATGATAACACACAATTATATAAAAATTGATTTACTCGTTATGAAACAATTGGTTTGCTAAAGTTAGTTAGTTTAATCAATAAAATCCAAACAATCGCAAAATAAAGAAATATATTTGTCCCATGATCCATATTTATAATTAGATGTTATTTTTAATATTATAATGTAATAAACATTTCAATTGGGAATCCAAATTTACAGTGATTTTTGTTAAAGATAAACGGTAAATATTTATAATTAACTATTAAGTTTTAAGAAAAATTTAATACATTAACAAAAAAAACAATAAACATACACACTTTTACTTAATAAAAAACCGAAATTCATCGAATGCAATAATTAATAATAACAAGTATGAAATAAGTTTAATACAGTAACAGACTCGTCAAAACACTTTCAGATATTTTTTTAATGAGAATTAAAATGTACACGAAGTAGTCAAATCGTATCTATATCACTCAGACTAACGGGAATTTATTAAACACAAATTTATGGGTAACATAGACATAAATATTAATTTCATGTTCATTTTTCTGGCACATTATTTCAATTGATAAAAACGTTCTGCTATATCTAATAAGCTGTTCTATATCGACCTGTTATCAACCTGTCGGATTTTAGTTATAATCTTAATATGCAACTTCCGAGTAAAAAAAAATGACCGATAATTTCGTTCACGGAAGTCGTAACTGTATATAATAAACATCAGAGAAGCATGCAAGAGGCACGAATGATCTCAATCGTAAATATGCTCTACTGTACAATTATAAAAAAATGGAAAGGGAGCTCGTATATTTTTTTAGTGGATAATTTAAAGAAAATATTACAATGTAATATCGAAATCGATATTTATAAACGATATCTGTTTTTTCACATAATAAAAACTACCATTGCGAGGATATTTTGAGCGTCACGAATTAGGGAATAGACAAAATTATGTTGAATTTCTGTATCTACTCAGTGATTTTGTATAATATCCTCTCGTTGAAAAGTCACCGCCGACCACTGATATCTATCATGGTCAATCCTACTGAACAGATATATGGAATATGCACCTTTACGTTTTCAATTTAGTTATACGCTTTATTTAATAAAAAATATTTATTGCACATAAACATAAAAAATACATAAAATCTTTTTTTGTTAGAAGAAACTTAAATTTGTTCATAAACTTCACAAAAACAAGTATTGTTCACGAGTATATAAAATACATCATACCAGATTGCTATCTATGTGGGAGGTCGTTAGGGTTTGAACCGTTTGAACCTTTTTAATTGTTCTTGGAAGATTAATATTGGTAGAATGTTTAGAAGAAATTCAAAGATATTTTAATTTACATTTACGCCCAGTCTCATTTATTTTGTAATGATCTGTTAACGTAGTACTTATTAAACGTTTGTTAATTGTACATTGTAACGTATATATATACAAAGATTTGACAGTATTTGAATGTATTTTCTTAAAACTTGTTATATATTTTTTAATTCGATATGCGCCTTGTTACTCAAACTAAACTGCGGCGTACACATAAGACTATTTTTATTTTATTTACTTTAAGTAAATATTTGTAATAAAAAAAATCATAATAAATATATTGATTCTATTTAATTTCTTTGTCAGTTTTAGTGTAATTTGTGTATTAGATTTTAGATATTTTTTTAAATTTGTATTTATTCTAAATATACTGTATGCCAGAGATTTCCTATCTCAGTTATTTATGTCATGAAACATATTTACTGGTCAATTTAATTTTAAATTTAAATATTGATATCTTCCTTAGAATATTGAGTGCCCATGAGTTAAATGAGCATTGTTAGACAACCAATAATGCATTTGTAGCTTAATATTACATAATGTAATGTACTATTTCAGGGCGATACAACATCATTTCAAATATTACTGGCGCAAGTGTTTGGCATTAAATCTGTGAATTGTTGTGATACAAAGTCATACAGAATTATGCAATTAATTTAGTCACGAGTGAATGTAATTAACAGTAAATGAAATTTAAAAAAAATAGTGCTATCATCCCACGTCGCAGGAGGAAATCTTTATTTAGCGAAAATAGCTTTCCAAACGCATACATAATGAAGTAATTTTAATTGCAATGCGAGTCACATAGCTGCGAGTGTGGATAATACTTGACTTGTACGCGTTTACATAGAGATTGGTTAAGATAATATTGTGCGTCGATAGGTGTGGACGAGGCGGTATTATTTTCATGAGGCTATGAGCGTGATCTAATTATAATCATTAATCACAGTTCGTGATAAGCGCTGAAACGCATAAACGACGGTTTATCTTTTCGACGTGAAGTTGTTTCGAACTTGGCTGCATTGCATCCTGCGCTACGCTGCGTTTGGATTTGGGTGTACTTACTGGGGGGATGGACGTGAACTGTCATTCATCAGTCGCGTCAAATTGCAAATAGATTAAAGTTTTTATGGGTGTTTACACTGTTTACATGGTTCCGCAATAAATACGAACGAGTGTACATACGATGGTCATTGTCTTCGACGAATAAACAATTGAAAATGAGCGTGTTTGGTGATTTTCAGCAAGTCTGGTCGCAACGGTTCCCGGAGAGTGCGTTGCCCAGTGCTTGGGAGGAAGATATCAGAGCGAATCTTGAGAAGCACAAACACAAAGTGAGACTGCTGAAGGAGGAACTGGACAAGGAGATCATCTATGTGGAGTATCTGGAGAGGCTCCTCTCTGACATTGAAGAGAAGAAGGTGGAAAAAAAGACTGATTTTGAGGAAAATCCTGCTGGCCAGATAGATACTGACTCTTTATCTAATGTAAATAATTACAGTAACAACTAATCTAATCTATATAACGTTTTTTTGTTTCATTTAACTTATTTATAATATTTTTACCTTTTTACCACCCAGCAGAAACCTGATGATAATATAGTACCGACTGCACCACCCTGTGAGTCACCAGACACAGAGACTTCAGTTAACAAGTGCATTAGTGAATTGACATCATTCAAATCAGCATCACTGCAAAGGAAAACTAGTGAACCCACCAAAAGTGACACTTCGAATAATGATCCCAGCAGTTTTGTGACTGTAATTGAAGTTAACGGGATTAAAAACACTACAGTTTCATCATCACCAAGCAAGCATCCACCAATGTAAGACTAGACAACATAACCATCAACAACATCTATATTCTGTTAATTTCAGACCACCACTTAAGCCCAAGTTTAGAGCTAACTCGTTGAGAGAAGAAGGCCCATCCAGGAGTGCTAGTGCAGAATCAATCCGCTCTTCCAGTGAGCAATTATCACCAGCTGATGAACCTTATTATGATGTTGTGGCCACAGACACTGATGAAGCTCTAATCAAAAGTAAACTTAATTTTACCAATGTCAAATATATATTATAATGATAATCTGTCTAGGTATTGGTTCGAGCACTGAAAATGTTTTCTCGAATTCGAGTACTCTACCACTGCACGCAAAACACGCATCGCTGCAAAGCGTTGGCCCCGAGCCACAATCGCCGGAACCACAATCCAATTACGTGAATATCGAATATTTTATTCAGTAAGTATTTTCTCTTGTGTACTCTTTATTTTAAATATATAATAACAAACGATTTTTAGCAAGAGCAACATGAGTCACGATAGTGATGAAGATGAACAAATGTATCAAGAAGATATTCCTTTGAGGAGGAATAATGACAACGGTTCGTACGCAAGCTCTAGTTCCTTAGAGTCATCAACGCCAGCGACTAGAAGGAAGTTTAGCCAAATCAGTTTTACGGTATGTCAGTTTTCTTAACGTAGTCTGTTAAATTAAGAACATTAAATAATTTGTGTATATCTAAAAATATTTTTAAAATAATTCTTCCAACAAAAACCCGCATGTTCTTTTTTGAAAACCACATGATTTGTATAATTTTTAAATAATTGTCATATCTTTGACGTCATTTTATAGAATATAAAATATTGGTTCATTGATATTTTTATGAAATAAATGTGCGACGAAGAAAAACACAAGGAAATGTGTTTAGAAAAAGAAAGTATAATTTGTAAAGGAAGTAAATTGTATATGGAGGAGAAAAAAGTGAAACCAATAAACTAAATATTTTTAATTATATATTTGTTTTCAGGATTCCGAGAGGGGTGATGGAAAATCATCAATGTATAAAAGTCTTTTGATTAATATCATAGACAGTGAATCCACATATGTCGAATGGCTATTTGTTTTTATTACGGTAATTAAAAATTATTATTGATTTTATTGTTCTTTATATTGAAATATTTATTTTTATGATCAGTATATGAAAGCAATCAAAGGAACACTGAATACATCGCAACCAGTAATATCTTTGGACGAGTTTAATACGATTTTTTACAAAATTCCTGAACTCCACGAATTGCATACCAATTTTCTTGAGAGCCTGAAAAGACATTCTAACAAATGGGATACCAGAGTAGGAGATAGTTTTAAATTCATGGTAAATATCTTCTTATTATTAATTATTTGGACGCTCTTGATTTTCAAATTGTATTGTAGGCGCAGAATTTAGAGTTATACGGTGCTTTTTTGAGTAATTATGGCAGGGCTGTTGACACCGCTAAAAAGTGCAGCAGCGCTAACACTCGTTTCGCCGATATATCGAGGAACATCACATGCAAGAACCTATCCGGTCAGCCTATTTCGCTGGAGGATCTTTTGCATAAGCCGGTTGCAAGGGTGCAGAAAAACGCGATGGTACTTCACGATCTGTTGAAGTACACGCCTGATTCCTCACCAGATTACAATTCGTTTTGCGAGGCCCTCGAGATTACGCAGAAGTTTTTGGACCAATTCAACATGATCCAAACCAAATCCATGTTCCCTGTAAGTTTTCTATAAATGAAATTTAATATGATTGCTTTTATCCAGACTCTTGTACAAAAGTGCAAAATGATTTATTTATAGAATGCTCGTACGTTTTCATTCATCATGTTTATTTCAATGACGTAGTAAGTCATTGTTTTCACTTATTATTGTTTTGTTTTTATAATTTTAACTTCCGATGCTATCCATTATAAGATAGCTGTGACATCGTATTGTGCGTAAAAGTTGTGTGTTGTCTGGTTTGTATATTGTAAATGTAAATAAGTGATATTCATTCAACTGATTTCCTCCATTTGCACTTACTCATCGATTGTAGTGGTTCTGCTTTTTATTGTTGGAGATTTGCCAATAAAAGGATAACAGAGAAAAGTGTACGTGGTTGAATGCCAATTAACGTTGACCGTCCATTAATTAGTCGGTATTATGTGTAGCCCCAAAGCTTAATTTATTTTGTCGAGCATAGGATGTACGCGCGGGGAATAATAATTGATTAATTTGGATTCAGTTTAAAAATGTGCGCGCGGTTTAGTTCACATATATGACCCACTTGGAAAGTGTTATTTTTCCTCTCTTCTTTGTTTTTACCAACGTTAAACACAGGAAGTGTTGCTTTATTATTTGTATTAGTTATTAATTGTCAATAGTTTTCGCGCGCGGCGCCTTCATCATGAGCCTGTCGGTGTTTTCTTCATGTTTTCGCGTAAAAAAGGATAAGGCCTTCATTTACGAGAACATTGTCTGCGATTGTTCCTTCTTCTACCTGAAAGTATCCGCAGCAAAAAGTTTCCAAATAATCAACTCTTCTCTAATTATTCTAGGCCAACGACAGGGCACAACGTCGTCTAGTCAAAAATTCGTTCATCGTCGAATTCGTCGAGAACTCACGCAAATTGAGGCACCTATTCCTGTTCAATGATGTCATAGCATGCGCTAAATATAAGGTAATTAATTAAAATTTTATCTTTATTTGAATACTAGCAATTTTCTGCTTTTTGTTTGTATAATTTGATTAATATTTTTTTAGTAGATTTTTATTTTGAGTTTAATTTTTACTTATTTGGTTTCCTGTTGTTTCATGAATAGGTTTTATTTCAGTCATCGGGTAGAAACGAAAAATACACATTTGAGTTGAAATGGTTTATACCCGTTGAAGAAATTTTAATCCTCGAAGAATCAACTGCCAATCCTCACGAAGTTCCAACCACCGAGTTGGTCAGTTTAAAATCACAAGCATCGAATACTCGTGATAATTTGAGACAAGATGAGAAGGTTGGAGAAGACAAGGTATTTTCATTATACATAATAATTTTGTTGTATCTAATCTTTAATTATTGTATGTTCAGAAAAGTCGCCTGGGTCGTGGCAGTACTGATAAGCTGCGTAAACGCCTCCTGGAACTGGAGAGCCAATTGGTCTTGGTCTCTCCAAATTTGATATTCAGAATTAAACATCGCAATCAGCCCAAACAGTACACTTTCTTCCTGTCATCAGAGTTTGAGCGGACGCAATGGGTAGAAACCATAAAGACCTTACAGAAGACCAGCAGACCGCCGGCACCCAGTGCAAGCTTTAGTATGCTAGATCTTCAAGGGTGGATAACGGCCTGCAGGACGTACTTGAAAACGAACATGGGTTCGTACTTGTTGCGCAGCGGCCACGATGAAAGTCTGCTCGTAGGCGATCTGCACATCACCGTTTTCGACTTGCAAGGTTTGGAGTATGCTGCAGACGTGTACATATGTATCGAGGTCGACTTCTACGGCCACTTCTTCCGCAAGGCCAAAACCAAAATGTCATGCAAGTCGAATTCACCGCAATGGAATGAAAATTTTATTATTGATCTAGAAGGCTGCGAAAATCTAAGGATATTGGTCTATAGGGACACCGGAACGCAATCTACATTATTTGGGAAACACACTCAACAGCTAAGCAGGCAGTGGTTGCATCAGAATACGACTGAAAAAAAACTAAAGATCAACGGTTGTGAGTTGAGGATTGGTCTTAAGTACATCCCTTATGAGGTGTCGCCGAATAGACGTGTCCCTAGCAAAGCTGGTCCACTTTTTGGCGAGAAAATTTCACAGATTTGCAAGTAATTAGATCTCGTCTGAATATATGTTTTAAGCCTCCGTTAATCTATATTAATTTTAGGCGACAAAAACGGGACATCCCATTCATTGTTTCATCTTGCGTGAGAGAAGCGGAAAGACGTGGTATGTCCGAAGTTGGTATCTACAGAGTGTCTGGATCCGCATCGGACTTGGGCAAATTAAGGAAGTCCTTTGAAACAAGTATGTTACTTTTTACGTTTATAATGTCGATAATATAATTACACTTTATTATTTACAGATCCATACGAAGCAGAACAGTTGCTGAAGGAGGTAGATATACATTCGGTTACCGGTATCCTGAGGACTTATCTTCGTGAGCTACCGGAGGCCCTGTATACGGACACACTGTATCCATCACTTTTAGAGGCTTTTAATAGCAATGAAAATTTAACTAAACGGACTGATCTTCTACGAGATATTTCCAAGAAATTGCCAAAGGAAAACAAAGCCACTATAGATTTTATCCTGGAGCATCTTATACGGTGAGTTTATTAACAATGAAAACGGTTCATGTTATTTAAATATGCATTTATGTTACTAGAGTTTACCAACATGAGAATGAGAACAAGATGTCGTTACATAATTTGGCTACCGTTTTCGGGCCAACCTTGTTGCGATCCAGCTGCAAATTGGACAACAAGCAGAAAAATCATTTAGCATCAGAAACTGTAGACGTGATGGCACAGGCTGGAATTCTGTACTGTTTCCTGCAGGATTTGAATTCCAACTTCAGGAAGGACTGTTGACACTAGTTGCCTTCAAACAATTATTTTACCAATCGTACTACTGCTACATAAAATAGAACTGATAATTGCAGTTATTATTAACTATAATATGTAATACTTTATACCTTCCATATTAATGCATTTTTTTAAAATAGCTTGTAGGTAAGTTTATAAAGAAATGAGGAGTGGTTAAAACAAAAAATACAAAACGTATTATTATATGATTAAAATTACGTAATTGACTTCTTGTGTAATGATTGTATTATCTTTTTGTTTCATTTGTTTATATATTTGTTTTTGAACCAGAAAGAAAAATATGAAAGTATTCGTGTACCTATTTAGTTTTTAATTATTTTGATTGATTTTTGCATCTAAATTATTATCTTTTTTTCGTCCGAAAAAAGTCAATTTTGAATGTATGTATGTGTTTTTTGTATATATAAATATTTATAAAATATATTGAAATAATATATATGTATATATTCATTTTGCATTCATCCTTACACAACAATCAAATCAATTAAGTACAAACAATAAATTTACAACTAGATTATTACAAACATCAACGTCATTCTTAATTCTCGCATTTAACACTTAAGAACATAATAAAAAGATAATTAGTGTTTGATGTGTTATGTACATGCACATTCATTTCATAATGAGGATACTTTCGATTAGACTAAAAAATAGTTAATATGTTTAAAACAGCTGCAATTAATGATATTCACCTTTTTAAATGGACTATACAAGAATTATTTTAAATTTATTACCCTGCAACAGTTATATTTTATATAGAGGTGTAAATAAATGACAGTGAAAATAAATGCAACACCATTAATATATATTAATATAATAAGGTTTAAAATTTGTACAATTTAATGTAGTAAAAAAGATCATCCTCGATATTCATCGATAATTAATCGACAGAATAGGAAATTAAACATATTGCATGACGTTCGCTTATCAACTTTTCAGTTCAGGTCTCTATCTTCTAAGTACTTATATTCGAATGTAAAGCCTTCCTTCTTTCGTTGACCCCATTTTTCGTAATCGAAATAAATATACGTCCCCTGCAAAAATTCGGTTCGCATATGTTAATATCGTTGATGAATAATAATATTTTGTAGCACGCACCTGCTCGTAGTCCTCATTGATAGTTTTTGGCTCCTCGTGTCTCTGGAACCACATCATGTATTTCGTATGGAAGCGCCAGCTTTGTTTTTTAAGAGCTTTAGCTGCCAAGAACTGTGCTTTCGTGCCTTCCATATAATAAAAGACAAAGAATAAGGTTTCTGTTCCTAACCGTTGGTAAAATTCCAAAGTGTCCGACTGTGGCAATGGTTGTTGGATATAATACACGGGCGTCGAACATTGGTTCCTGGGCAGATACGTTCGTAATCGCTCAGAATCTGATGGCTGCGGCATATGGTAAAAAGCTGATTCCATCATCTGGAACTGAGACTGGTGTTCTTTCTGCAATGGTACGGCCCCCAGAGGCGCCACGCCCAGTAAAGGCGGTATACACGCTTCCGATTTGACAGAAGGTTGCGTTTTGTTCGTATCCAACATCACCTGATTGCTGCTGTCCAAACCAGCTCGATCTATTGCTTGCTGCGCCATAGACTTCAACGACATGTCAGGCATCTACACACATTAATTTGTATTAAAACGATATAAATCACAATAGCACTTTTAATTACTTTGTTATCGAAAGTAGGTCCGTTCATTGCAGGTTGCTGCTGCTGTTGTAGCAATTGTTGTTGCTGCTGTTGATGTTGAAGTACTGGCATAATTTGTGATCCAGTTGTTGAATCAGGGTTAGGCATTGGAGATGTTCTACTACTAACACTAGATACCGGACTTGAGCAGTTATTCTGAGTATGTACTTCATTGAAGCTGGCAGGTTTTTGAACTATATTTGTTAAACTATTCTGTTGGTTCAACTGCAATTTAAAATGAGTCAAGAAAAAGTTCTAAATAAGTTTTTCAGTATACCTGTAGGGTGGTTTGCGTTGTAGGCGGATGATGTACATTACTGCTACTATTATTATTGTTGTTATTGGTGTTTTGTATGCTTGGAACAAGAACCTGTGTCACTGTCTGATTATTATTTGTCAATATCACAGACGACGAAACACTTTCAGAACTCGTAGCTGAAAAAAAAATGTACGATATAACATATATAATACTAATTAATACTGCTACTGTTTTCAAGCCACTTACAAGTGTTCACTTTGGAAGTGGGATTATTCGCCGCAACTGCAGCAAAGTTACCTGGATGAACCTGAACCACGGGCGAGCCGTTTGTATCTCTTGCCGGTTTACTCGGCGTACTGCTTATCAACACGGGTTTATTGTTTGGTGTTGTCGAAGTCGTACTGTTTCCACTTGTATTCAAAATGGAATTCGTACTACTGTTCATAGTTGTACTTGAGGCTCTCACAGCCTGAGGTTTGATGGGCTGCAAAAAGAGATAAATGACATAACATTTTTGATATTATCTTATTTTATCCTACTTTAAATTTCCTTTTTTTATACATATTGCTAACAAATCAATTTAAAGAAATTTATAGATGAAATCTCTATATAAATGTATTATATCTTTATAATAAATAATTGTATTAAATTAAAATATCAGTAGCTACACTTTGTCAAATAACATCATTAAATTGAACACTGGACAATACACAAAATGATACTATTAAAAATAAATCATACACTATAAATTTTGTCGTGAAAAAAAATTATCTTATTTGAATTTCTATTTTAGTTAAAATGTATATACCATTTTTTTTATATTATCAAGTACAAAAACCATTCAGCATAAAAATAAAAATTGCCTTACCTTGGGTATGTCCTTATATGTGGCATTCTTCTTGTCTTCATTAGAACTATCACTGGAATGATTATAAGGAGGAGCTACCGGTAAGGGTGAAGCTAATGGTGACGACGATATGATAGACGTTGGTGTTCCTCCTGTTTCGTTACTGTCTGTTGTTGCAGATGACGGCAATCCAACACCTGACAATTCCACTTCATCTAAACCAATAATATCATCATAAATGTACTCATTCTCTTCAAAATCAGGATCCTGGTTAGACTCAATGTAAAATTCTACATCATCCTTAATGTCCTTGATCTAAAACAGAAAATGAGTATACTATTTAATTTGACACATCTGAATTGATCAACAAGTCCCCCCCTCACACCTCTTATTTAGGTTATGTTACAGTCTTTTCTAGGTTAGATGAATAGAAAAAAGAAAGGGTACCTGTGAAACTTCCACTGACATATTATCCAACATTCTCAACAATGTTTCCAATTTCCTTATATGAAATCTATGTCGTTCAAGCCTCAGCTTACACTCATCCACCCTCTCCTGCTTATCCTTATCCAACTTTTTCTTCTTATTCACTGTTAGAGACTCAATTTCACTCTCAAATGAATCATACTAAAATGAATTAAATTAATTTTACTCATGCTCATGATAATAAAAAAATAAAATGAACCTTACCTGTATGTTTAAACTATCAATGGAATTGACAAGCCAATTCTGAATCTCCTCCCTTTCCTTTTGTGCTGGGTCCAGCTTTTGTGCAGCACCCAAACCCTCCTTAGAATATGCCTTTGTTTTGGTCTCTCTCTCTACAACTTTAAACCTTTCCATTTGCTAAAATGCAACAATATAGATATGCAATTGGAAAATATTCTGCTTATGTGTAGGAAACTTACAGTTTCTATTAGTTTTCTATTATCCATGAGGACACTTTTGTCTTTGATTTCTCCAGAGGCAATCCAACTTTTGATTTGATCTCGTAGCCTCTGCAGTTTCTTGATTTCCTTCTTGAGGTCGGCCTCATACTTTTCTTTTTGATTGCTATTTGTAGCATTGTGAACTTTTTGCCAAATGTCTTCAAAAGTCTCAACCCCTTCTGTTACTTTCTTTAGACATCGATCAATTTCACCTGAAACAAATGGGACCAGTTTAATAAGCTGCACATATACTTATAGGATAGAAATATATCAATTTGTCTGGAATATTTACATAAACATTTGTTTATTGCAACTAGTAAAATGTCAATTAATGATAAAATTTAATCTTGACATGTTGGTATAAATGGGCTAATTCAGTGGTCTTAAAAAAAGATGCTTCAGTATGAACATAAGGCATAATCATAATAACTGCAATGGAAAGGCCAAATTCAAATATGACCAGATTTCCTATTGCTTTTCAATTGACTTATTTATTTCTCACCTTGTAATTTTCTGGATGCAGCCATTACTGTGAAATATTTTTTTGTCAATATAACCACATAATATGTCTTTGCGACCACATTCACAAAGTGAAGCCCTGGGATCACATGCAAACGAGTTAATATCAGCACGGCACCGGTTTTCGTCAGCGCGTTCAGATTTTACCTTTAGTTTTGTCTTAATAATATAAAATTTGCAAAACAACAGAACTCTAAACTTATCCGTCTATGTTCTAATGTACGTTAATACCAACTTTAAAAAATACGTTTCTTTATGTTACCCTTTTCGGCATTCACTTGTGTGAATCATACCAACTGCACTTTCTCTTCAAAACAAAAAAAATGCATATCTTTATCAAATCTTATCAGATCGTCAAATCATACACGAAATCTAAAACAAAATATAATACAGATTATCTGTCTGGCTATACAATAAACATTTTATTTACTATTAGTAATTATATTATTTATTTGCTTTAGATTCACAAATAGGTGGAATGTTAAATTCTAAACTATGATGAATGGAATGTACTAATTATTTTTTATGGAAACAAAAGACTTGGCAACATAATTATCTATCATCAAACTAAGGTTGCCCAATCCTCCTTGCGATATAGCTGCTCGCATATGTACGAAGTAATTACGAGTAATTACTTTAAATTTTAACTGAAATAATAATCATATCAAATCTTTGCGCAGTTACAGTTGGCTACCCCTAAATTTCTTTTTATATTGTGGATCCCTGTTGTAAAGACATTTTCATTGACATTTTGTACTTAAAATATTTGGCGGAAAGATCGCTCGGCTTTGACAAATTTGATATTTTATGTGTTATGAGTAAATTAGTAATAATAGTTATTGATAGTTATATTTTATAAACATGGCACAAAGGAGCATAACGTGAGTGATTATATTGAATGTGTTTTTTTATAGTGTTATTAAAGTAAAAATTATTATTTGTAGGTCCTTCTTTATTAGGGTCACACCAAAGGATTCAACAACAAGTTATGGGTATGTAATTGAGTTACTCTAAAAATTGATATGTTTCTGAGAAGAGTCTGTATCAAAATTTTAAACCCCAACTTTCCTTTATATCAAACTAGAGCTTCAATTGCTAAGGTATCTTCACACCAATTAAAGAGAACTAGAGAATCCAGCAGTGTAGATGACAATGAAGAAAATATGTAAGTATTTAAATGTTTCTTATAATATTTACAATTAATGCTGTTTTTAATTATTTTAGGCCTACTAAGAATACCCAAAAAGAATTAACAAATAAAAAGAATTGTAAGTTTTATTGTAATGTTATAATGAATATTTAATAAGATATTCTATTTGTTTAGCAGCAAAAAGACAAAAAACTGTGAAAGTATTGCCTGATTCAGTTCAAAATATTATTAAAACTACTGAAAAAGATGTAGACAATAACAGCAGTGATAGTAATTTGTCTATTAAAAATGCTCCACTTAGATCTGAAAAGAAGAAAAACAAGCATCGTCTCATTAACTCTGATAGCAGTGAAGATGAAGTTCTCATTAAAAAAGAGAGTCCAAAGAAGGAAAAGAAATTGGAAGTTTTCTTTAAGAAAGAAGCTGAAAATTTAAAAGCAAAGAAGAAGAAGCAACATGTAATTGAATCTGACTACAGTTCAGATGAAGTTGAGAGTCCTAAAAAACAAGAAACAAAGGATGTTGTGGTTAAGAAAGAACCTGAAGTTGAAAAGAAATCCATGCTTGATTTTTTCAGTAAGTTATTTAATTTTCTTTTTAGAGCTCCAAATTGTACAAAAATAACTTGTTACAAAGTGGAGGCTTTATTTGCCAACTATAAATTGCAACATCAGTTAGCAATAACTAATAATATAATTTTTATAGAAGGAAATTCAAAAACAAAAACTGATACTAATGTTAGTGGAGTTGATTATAATCCAACATTGGGAAAATATGATCCAATTGAATGTGCTACATGGCAACATGGACAAAAGTGAGTTTTATTTTATTTTTTCAATTTTATTCATTGTTTACTTTTTCTAATTTATTTATTACATTATATAAGATAATAATATTCTTAATTATGTTTATGGTATCTATTTCTTAAAATAAATTAAGTAAAATATATTTTTTCAATCACAAATATGTTTGCCTATTTTCTAATTAATATCCATAATTTTAGGGTACCTTATATGGCGTTAGCTAGGTCCCTGGAAGAGATAGAAAACGTGTCAGCTCGATTAAAGATGATTGAGATCTTAAGTAATTTCTTCCGATCTGTTCTGGTTTTGACCCCAGATGACTTATTGCCGAGTGTCTACCTATGTTTGAACAAATTAGCCCCAGCATACGAGGGAATTGAATTGGGAATTGCCGAAACATCACTGATGAAAGCAATAGCGCAGAGTACTGGAAGAACTGTGGCACAAATAAAAGCGGATGCCCAAGAAGTGGGTGATCTTGGAATCGTGGCCGAACGCTCAAAAAGTAATCAGCGTATGATATTTCAACCGGCTCCGCTGTATGTTCGTGGTGTCTTCGACAAGCTCAAAGATATAGCGAAAATGACCGGACATTCTGTAAGAATATTAACATTACTAACTTAACTAAACATTAAACACTGAAATTTACATAAGATATATATGTTCAACTTAATAACATAGCATTGATTAATATTCATTCACTAAATTTGATATGAAATTACAGTCACAAACTAAAAAAGTAGAGAAAATCCAATCGATGTTTGTAGCTTGTAAACATTCCGAAGCACGGTTTTTAATCCGATCGTTGGCGGGAAAGCTTAGGATAGGCTTAGCGGAACAATCTGTATTGCAAGCGTTGGCTCTGGCCTGTACGTTGACGCCACCGAATCAATCTTATCCACCTAAAAAATTGAATGTTTCTAAAGGAATGTCCACAGAATCTTTCAAGAATTTACAAGAGGAAATGACTTTGATAATTAAAACAACCTATTGGTAAATATATTTAATAATCCAATTAGATTTGTATATATTATTTTTATTATACAGCGAATGTCCAAATTATGATCTGATGATACCTGTACTTCTCAAAGAGGGTATCGAAAAGCTTCCCGAATACTGCAAGCTCACTCCGGGTATTCCACTCAAACCTATGTTAGCACATCCGACAAAAGGCGTACACGAAGTCCTCCAGCGATTCGATGGTCTCAGATTCACATGCGAATGGAAATATGATGGAGAAAGAGCGCAGGTAAATATTACAAATATCTGTTATATGCCTTTTTTTTAAATAACTATCATAAAATATTTGTAGCCATAAGATTTATTCTTTATAAATTTTATAGGTTTTAAAGTATAGTTCTCTAATTATTATTTGCATTTATTACTTGAGACATAACTTATCTAATTTTCTTAGTAGGACAGATACATCTTAAAAGGTTATAGTTAAAACGTTGGATGTCTATTGAGTTATGTATTGTTATGAAAGTTAAGACAACTTGAGTAATGCTAACTTATAAGATTATTTAGTTCAATGAATATGTTTTTTAATAATGTATCTATTATAATCATAAATCACTACAGAAAAATATTCCTTTGCTGTGTAAATATCTGTCTGCGCTTACTGCTTAATTAATAATGTTATTACATTTCTTCAAAAATACTGTTTTATTTTAGATTCACATACATGATAATGGTGATGTTAGCATTTATAGTAGGAATCAAGAGAACAATACTTCAAAATATCCCGATATAATTTCTCGTTTGGTGCACTGTAAGACTGATAATGTTAAGTCCTGCATTTTGGATTGCGAAGCTGTCGCGTGGGATAAGGAAAAGAAACAAATATTGCCATTCCAAATATTGAGTACGCGGAAACGGAAGGTAAAAGAAGAAACTATATAAATATGTAGACTTATAAATCGGTTTTAGGATGCGAATGAAGAGGATATAAAAGTTCAAGTTTGCGTATTCATGTTTGATTTGCTATTCCTAAATGGAGAACGGTTAGTTACGAAACCATTCTCGTATAGGCGTGAATTGCTGAAAGAGAATTTCAAAGAGTACGAGGGTGAGTGGTGCTTTGCCACTAGTATGGACACCAAGACGATGGAAGAGGTTCAAGAGTTCTTGGATGAGAGCGTCAAAGGTAATTGTGAAGGTTTGATGGTAAAGACGCTGGACGAGGATGCCACATATGAAATTGCCAAGAGGTCGCGGAATTGGTTAAAGTTGAAGAAAGATTACCTGGAGGGCGTTGGAGATACGCTAGATGTAGTCGTCATTGGTGGATATATTGGTAAAGGAAAACGGACTGGAACTTACGGCGGTTTTCTATTGGCTTGCTACGACGCCGATAACGAAGAATACCAAAGCATTTGCAAGGTGAGATTTATTTTTACTTTGATAAATGGGTACAAAAATGACTTTGGTTTGTTATAGATTGGAACCGGTTTTACTGATGAATATCTTCAAACGCATACAGATTTCTTGAAGAGTCATATAATTTCTGAACCGAAATCGTACTATCGCTACGATTCATCTCACGAGCCTGACCATTGGTTCGACGCTGTTCAAGTGTGGGAGATAAAATGTGCAGATCTCTCCCTCTCGCCAGTCCATCGAGCAGCAATGGGCATAGTTGATCCTGAAAAGGGTATTTCCCTTAGGTTTCCACGTTTCATCAGGATTCGAGACGACAAGAACGTAGAAGATGCCACCTCAGCGCAGCAAGTGGCCGACATGTACTCCAACCAGGACCAAATTAAAAATCAACAAGGCGGCGGGAAATCGCTGGAGGAAGACTTTTATTAGTTTTTTTTTATCGTTATGTAGTTGTTAATAAGTGTGAATAAATACATAATGCATGTTATCGCATGATGTGATACATGCTAATTCGTATTACATCCTGTGTTTGATTTTTTTTTAATTGCACTTATATCAAAATTCATTCTCGTTCTTAATTCGAGAGAATAAAAATGATATCCATCAAATCGAATATCATCTACGCTGCGATTCTGTATTTGTTGCTGCAAGACATTGTTGCGTTACGAACGATTCCAATAGTTAGAAATATCTCGGATTGTGATGGCTTCAAAAACAATTTCCTAGTAGAGGCAAATATAATTGAAAGAGAGGTTGGAGTTAGAGAATTGAAAGCCTCCGTGGTTTTACCATTCGATTCGTGTTTGAAAGAAATTATTTGCCACCGGCAAATGTCTTCATTTTAGTATACGGCCGTCATTTCTAAATGGATTGACTATCAGCGTGCGTGGAGGCTGTTCATAAGATAATTCCTAAATTGTGGAAAAAAAAAATGCCGAAGCTGCAAAAGTCTATTACGATTGTCCAATTAAGAAGGTACGTATAAATGCACTCATTCATTTGCAGGGGCTACATTGACTTTTGTAGGGTCATTATGAATTGGATAGCTTTGTTGCTTCGAACGAGGACATACGTTTACCGACCTTCCTCATTGGAAAATATTCCATTTAAAGTTATCTTATCCGTAATAACGAGACAGTGCATTGCAAGGTTAGATATAACTCATTAATTGGTGTTAATTAAAACAATTCACAGATTATTACATTAAATACATAGCATACAAAGTTTTGTTTTTAATTACGAACATTTTCAATATTTTTTTTGTAGTTTTACAAACTTTGACCATTTTTGTGATATTATAAGATATTTTTATTAATTTACATAATTTCTTTTTATGTATTGACTCTAGTTTGGGCCAAAGTGCTATCGACCTAAGACTTTCTGCCTCAATTTCTTATAAGTCTACAATAATTATTTTTAAATATTTTTTCAATCAAAAAGCGTTTTCGTTTGTGTAATTTTAAAATCTAATATATACTTACTTCAAATATACATATAATTAATATATACATTTTACTTGCAAGAGAATTTATTTCGACGAGAAAAATTGGATTGCAAAACTTTCTTACTGCCAATTTTCTCCTTTCTAAAACAACTAAATTTATTTATGTAGGGAAATCAACACAACACTTTTCCCGGCAAGACAAAATAGAGGCGATCCAAATGCAACTTCGTAAATGGATTTGAAGAATACAATCAAATATTTTCGATATATTTCCAAATTATTCTCGAATGATTACAGATAATTCTGAATTTGATAAAAAAAATATACAAATTATTTAATTCATATCCAAAAATTAATTTAAAAATTGTCAAATATTTTCCAAATAATAAACTTAATAAGATAAAACTGTGGATTCGACTTTCCTTATAATTGTCAATATTAATACATACATTCTTGCATGCGAATAGACAAATTAGTGAACAGAAATCTCATTAATTTCGAAAAAGTTCGCACATCGCAATTTTGAAAGAAATTTTGCCGATTATTTTAAATGGTTGTTATGGTTGTTATTGTATAAAACAAATTCACACGCTGGAGTCAAATAGTAAATGTGTATTTTTTTTAAAACATTCATTAAATTAGATTAGAAGCAATTGACGATTATAAGTGTTTATATTATATGTTAAATGTCTTTTACCCAAATTGGAAAGTTAATGCGTATTTGGATTTAAGTTTTGAATTATCGCAAGGATGTTACATGTAATCGATTGCATTACTACCTGTGGTGTATGTTGGCTGATAGTGCATATACACTATAAAAAGGGACACCGAAAAAAGTGTAGTAACAATCAGTAAACAAAATGTTCAGCATTAAGTATTACCAGGTTTTATTAACTGTCACCGTTGTAGCAGGTAAGTTAGCTTGAGTTCAATTAAAAACTATTTTATACATATATATCTTAAAATACCAACAGCAGTAAATGCGGAACATCGCATTGTCGGTGGATTCGATGCGGAAGAAGGAGCCTTCCCATACCAGGTCTCGTTGCGTAGAGGAAACTTTCATTTTTGTGGCGGTTCAATACTGAACGAAAATTGGGTTTTATCTGCGGCCCATTGCGTCGTGGGGTAACATTTAGATATTTGATGCTTCCTGATATATTTACTATTTTTTTTTTCAGAAAATCTCCTGAAAATATGTCAGTTGTCGTTGGAACGAACTCCTTGAGTGAAGGAGGCGACTGGTACGACATAGAGCAATTCATCCCGCATTCTTTGTATTCTCCATACTCGGTTAAAAATGATATAGCTCTTGTTCGATTGAAAGAACCAATTGAGTTCTCGGACAAGGTGAAACCGATAAACCTACCTAATGAAGACACCAACGAAGAGGATTTGATACTGAGCGGTTGGGGAACCACAACTGTATGTTGATCTTATTTGCATAGTTTGGAATAAAATATACTAAAAGATATTCATTGATTCTAGTACCCGGGAAATAGTCCCGACAAATTGCAGACAATCAATTTGCGATCCATCAGCAACGTCAAATGCGCCATCGAGCATGCTAAAAATGACGTATTTGCTACAAATATTTGCACGTTGACTAAGAAAGGAGAAGGTGCATGTCACGTAAGTGTCGAGTAAGAGATATCTTCGTTTTGGAGAATAACAAGAGATGTTGATTTTATAGGGAGATTCCGGAGGTCCTTTGGTTCATGAAGATTATCAAGTCGGGGTCGTTTCTTGGGGCATCCCATGTGCCAAGGGTAAACCTGATGTATTTACCAGAGTCTACGGGTATTTGGATTGGATAAAAGAAGAAATGGAATATTAATATTATATTGTTTATTATAACATTTAATATAAATTTTACAATTAAAATTTACCTTTTTTCAACATCTTGTGAATAAATATATTATTTTTGAAGACAAATGAAATAAATATAGATGTTTCTGTTACAAAAAAATTAAATCAACTTTTAATTTGATGTAAATGATTTTCCATACTAGTTTTATTTTTCAGAATATTTTATAATTTATAATAATAATAAAATTTATTTGTAGCTTTTAATCATCTTCTTTACAATTTCGTTCTCAGAAACTTCATTAGCATTGATTTATTTCAGATTAATTTCGTGTTCTAGTTAGGGCTTCTTTACCGGTTAACCGGTTTCACCGGTAAATTTAGGTAAATTGAAAGTGATGTTAACACATGACGATGAATTTCTTCAAAATACAAGTTTTATTAATTTAAATATTGAAATTTCTTTGCAAAAAGATAAAAATTGCAGATGTGTGAACCTCAATTAACGAGCATAATCTGTTCCAAAATTCCTGATTTTTATTCGTTTAGTAATATATGATAATGCAATCCTTACAATTTAATTTGCTCGTTAACCGAAATGCTTGTTATGCGAGCTGCTCGTTAAGCAAGGTTCCACTGTATGTAACACTGGCTACTACGCCTTTTTTTTTCGGGCCTCCTTTACCTTTTATTGTTTTAATAGATTAAATAATATAGACACGTTCTATTTATTTGAAGATATTATGGTATAAAAATTAATTTATTGAAAATTTTTGGCGCCTCCCCTGGCAAGAGTCCGCGCCTCCCAGTTTGGAAACCGCTGCTCTAGTATGTCGCAAAAAAAATCATGAAATTCGAAACTTGTGATGGGGAAGCGCATATTAGTATAATAAAACCCAAACAGTTTTTTAAATCTTTTACTATAATTTGTTTCCATTTCACAGATTTCCTCATGTCTCTAATTTTGGTAAAATTATATATGTTCATATATCTTTTTCCTAGGTAGTGGCGGATCTAGCTCCCTCCATCCCTCCTTGTACCTGATCGTACCAATTGCTTTCTTTGTCATTCATTCAAATAAAACGTCTCAAATGAACAAACTTGCAATGTGATATACACTTTCTGGATTGTTGCCGAAATTGTTTATTACCGACCAGTATTCATCTTCAGCCTCATCTTCGTCTTCACTTCCTTCAGAATCGCTGTTTGGAAGCAGCAAAACTGGAACTTTTTTTCTAGAAAAGACTTTAACTTTCTATTTCTTCCTAGTCCAGTTATTGAGGGATAACATAGATTTTTTCGCCTTGGATAAACACGACAATGTGATATTTTGTAGAGTAAAGCTCATAGAGGGAAATAATGTCCATTGTGTTTAATAGATACAAAACAGTCTCCCTTTTTACCACCAGTCGTCTAAACAGATAAATGTACCCGCCCCGCACGAGATGTTTTAAGTAACAGTATATGTATGTGAATTGCTTTTTGTTATAAGTTACATCACCCATTTACGCAGATAATTTTTAATTAAAAAAATTAATAAAAAAAATACAGTAAATTTGGATGCCGTAGTTCCAGTACTTATTACAAAGCAATATTTCAATACGTGCTAAGAATTAATTAACAATAAACTATTAAATTAAAAATTAACATACTTAAAACAATAATTAATTCTTAAAGTAACAGACTAGAACCATAATTATCCAAAATTATTAGTGATTACACAATTATTTAATTTGGTTTTTATTCATTTTTCGATTAATCGATTTTACTGGCCAATATGACTACCGGTAACGTAACCCCTACTTGCAATGTCTTATCTCATTTAAAATAAAATAAGCTTGATAAATTAACCAGAGCAAGTCTACTATCGTAACCAAATAAACTTTAAACTAGAGTTATTCCCGGGAATTCTCTTATGGGAAATCTTTAATATTTATATTTCTCGTTTTTCCAGGAATTTATCTGTTTATCTTTTGATTTTTAAAGCAGGGTTTTGAGTACCTTAATTATAATTTTATTTTGTAATCATATTCGATTAACGAGCACCTTGTATAACGAGAAATTTGCATACAGAGCAATACAAATTCTAAGAAAAATGACTCACTTAAGGAGCGACTTTTTGCATGAATGATGAGAAGGGAAGTCCCAGATTTTGCACCTGTTATATCATTTTCTAAAGTTGTGTTCAGACAACAATTATGTGTGTTTTTTTTGTGCAAAGTTTAAAAACCCATCCAAAAAACGTCCATAAATAATAAACTAATTATTTCGATTTTTTTGCAAATCGAATTCGCATTCCAGATTAGTTCATTTCGCGAAAGAAGAAAAGATGAAAATGATTCACGCTCCTTAACAAACTATATATAATTTTCTTTGAATAAACGTTATACATATTTTTTTAGTATTTGTTTCGGCATAGAACGCATTATCGTATTTTACATTAATTTATATGGGAAAAATTGTTTCGTTTAACGAGTGATTCGCGTTACGAGTAAGATTATGGAACTATTTTATTTTTTTACAATCCCTCCATTATAGTTTAACTAGAAAAATATTAAATATTTTTAGTGATGTATTTATCATATTTGGTTGCACAAACAAATGAAATTATCGTAAAAGTAAACTAAGAAATATGATTTTTATGTGAAAATTATTTATATATGTAGATTAACCTATATAATTCGTTTTGTCGCATAAAAACGTCTATATACAGAATTGGTAACAATGAGAAATTATTTTCATGATTTACCGTGAAAAATGATAAACAAAAATTATGCGTGTATAAAAATAGAGAATCGTACAGAGTGTGAATGTGAGAATGCTTTGGCACATGATGTTGGTGGGATGTGCCCTTGTGGCATCGGCTAAAACGGAGCGTAAGGCATACTCTTAAATTAGTTTTATAAACAATCATAATCACTAATTTTGTAGCTGAGAGAAGGATCATCGGTGGAATCGAAGCCGATGAAAACAAATTCCCATACCAAGTGTCCCTGCGATTGGAAAGTTTTCACTTTTGCGGAGCAGCGATTCTCAACAACAAATGGGTTTTAACTGCTGCCCATTGCTTGGCCCAGTAATACACGACGGATGAACTTATATGAAATGATACCAGCATTCTGTTATTTCTTTTTTAGCAACGATGTCTCACACATAACAGTTGCAGTTGGATCGAATAACTTATCGCTTCAGAGCAAAATGTATAAGGCCAAGAAAATCATTATCCACGAATATTACTCGGAGTTGAAAATATCCAATGATATTGGTTTGATCATGGTGGAGACACCGATATCATTTTCCACAAGTGTGAAACCCATACAGTTACCTCTAAGTGATACAATAACGGGGAGATTATTGACCGTCAGCGGATGGGGACTCACGGAGGTTGGCGTTTATTACATTTTTTTTTTATAAAAAATAATACCATATTTGATGACTTAATTCCAGTATCCTCTGAAGACAGTACCGGATGATCTAAAAACGGTCAAGATGAGAGCGATCAGCACACAATTATGCAAAGCAATGTACGATACTTATGTTGTATCACCCAGGGATACAAATCTATGCACCCTAAGCACCAAGGGTCGAGGAGTCTGCAAGGTTCTTTATCATTAATATTCATGCCTTTGTACATAACTTTTTTTTTAATTTGATCATTGTAGGGCGATTCCGGCGGTCCTCTCGTTGACGGAAAATACGTGGTCGGCGTAGTTTCCTGGGCGGCTCCGTGCGCTTTAGGCAAACCGGATGTCTTCACACGAGTTTACAAATACGTCGACTGGATACGTTCTCACATCAAATAAATGTTATGTATTATAAAATAAACTGATAGTCCGATACGTTGCAATTTCCCTCTCATTAACATTCGTTTTGCATACGAAACCACGAACAAATCAAGGACTAGAAAATCTAATTCGTTTTAACTATAACTTTATTCGCATTGTTCTAAATTGATTAGATTACTTTTATTTGACAACGCATATAAATAAACTTCCAAGTACTTTTAGTTTAAGTTCAAAATGAGTGTGAAGATGTTTCGTTCGCTGCTGTTTGTGTCAATCGCTGTATCGTCAGGTGAGTTAAATCGAGCTTAATTAATTAAAATTAAATGATAATTATTAATTTGCTTCAGTTCTATGCGGCGAAAGAATAGTGGGTGGAATGGTGGCAGAAGATGGTAAATACCCTTACCAGGTCTCCATACGCATGTGGAACGTTTATCATTTTTGTGGCGGTTCGATTCTGAACGATCGTTGGATTCTAACAGCAGCCCACTGCGTTTATAAGTAATCATTAAGTGACAATCATTAATAGAAAGTTAATGATTATGCAATTTCAGCCAAAAGTTTGACAACATGACTGTTGTTGTTGGCACGAATTCCCTTTCCAAAGGTGGTGTAGAACACGAGATAGAGAGCATAGTAGCACATCCATTTTACGTACCATTCTTGATCACCAATGATATAGCATTGATTAAAGTTAAGAAACCGATTGTCTTCAATCCAAGGACAAAGCCTATCCAATTACCTACGCAATACAGCGAGAATGAACCGAATGTTACCTTAACGGGCTGGGGAATGACCAATGTACTTGTCCAAACCAACAATATTCAATGCTTTTCATCCTTGTTTATTTTTTAGTATCCGGAAACCAACGTTAGTTCTATTCCCGATCAGCTGCAGGTCTTAGACCTAAAGTCTATAAGTACGCTGAGATGTCGGGCTATGCATTTCACAGTCCCAGCCCCAATCTTCGTCAACAATATATGCACTTTAACTAAGGAAGGCGAAGGCGCTTGCCCAGTATATTAATAGCTTTTAAGCATTACATACCTTCTAATATTTATATTTATTTTCAGGGAGATTCCGGCGGACCATTAGTGCACGACGACCATCAGGTCGGCATCGTGTCTTGGGGCATTCCCTGTGCCAAAGGTAAACCGGACGTCTTCACCAGGGTTTACATTTACCTAAGTTGGGTCAATGGTTACATAAATAATTGATAAGCATTCGTCCCATAACATATATATTTATATAAATATGCACCTCTAAAATGAAATAATATGGAATTGATGCTTTGTACTGTGTAATAAAATGTTAGTTCATAATACAATGCAACCAATAAACGAGTATTCTAAAATCTAAGCCAAGTCAGATGATCTAAACTAAAATTACTTGATGAGTGCCAGCAGCGCCTTCTTGTAGTCCCCGGATGTTTCGCCCTGCTAAAAGAATTCAATAAATAAACAGAAATGTTACTAAATATATAAACTCATTTGGTAATTCAAATTATGTTTATGGTGCGGTACCAATGACATATACATATTTAACATTCGTATAAACCATACAGTTTCAATAGTATTTGTGCTATGGACATTGTTATTATTTTTAATATTTTGTTCACTTTATTACTTGCAATCAACATAAATAATGAAAGATAATATGTTTTTGTTCGACGGAAAGATAGGTCGATAGCCCTTTGGTCGTATTTGTGGCTATATGTTATTAATTATTTATTATTATATATTATATATTATATAATTTGGTTAAGATTATATAATTACAACTAAATCACTAATTTCATCTTGATAATATTTGCATAGGAAAGTTAAAAAACACAAATATTATAAAATTATTTTCTATAATCGACTTAAACTAAATACGAAATTCACAGATTTCAGTAATCGTAATATTTATTTATATTTGTTTCAATTCCGATTTTCTCTTTTCTTTTTCATAATGACAAAAATAACTTTCTTGGCTCGCATCTTCAGCAATATAAAAAAACTATAAATGTATCCAAAACACTTGTTGACATGATAAAAATTGACAATTTTACTGATATTAAACATTACAAATTTATTAATATTTTTCTCAGTTATATTTAGGATCACTTAAATAATATAACTTGCAAAGTTACCGCACCATTAATATATAGGAAAATGATTTGAAATACCAATAAGATTTTGTATACAAATCTTACCAGCATTGATTCCTATTTTTGCATTGCAAAAGAAATTTACAAAATAGCGATTAAAGTAAAAATGAGAAAATTGTACTGACCTTGACGTAACTTTCCAGTGTCTTGTCATAAATGCGCTCGAATTCGGTCTTAATAGCACCTAAATCAATTTCGGAGCGGCTCACAATAATTCTGATGAGAGTGTCATCATCGGTGCCAGCACCATGCACAGATTTGTACAGTCTCTTGGCGAAAAACGCAGGTGGACTTTGGACGCATTCAACTGAAACATACGGTGGTTATTGTCGTTGAACCTTTTATTACAAATGTGGAGCAAGATACCTATGGCAAGCATGGCCTCCAATAAATCCCCATCCAATTCGGAGCGAAGAGCTTGCTCGATGGTGTTGCCTGAAACTTCTTTGTACTCTTCGAATATTTGACGCAGTTGATTGAAGTTTTCCTTGCCGAGAATCTTCGTAAAAACACTTTCGTCAGTACCGAATTTGTCTTCGCCAGCTTCGAAGAGTTGCTGGGCTTGTTCTCGGGCCAACGCCGAATCCACCTTGTTGCTGATGTCTCGGGTACCTGTAACGATGAAGGTCAAAAGGCGACGCAATTCACCGGAGGTTTCACCGCAGAGGTGTTCAGCCAAGGGTCTGTCGTACACTGAAATCGAATATATGCGTTACATTACAATGATCACAAAAATATTAGATTATTTACTTTCTTCATACGCTTGCACGAGATCATTAATCTCTTTTGAATCCTTAGAGCAAATAATTTCAACCAAAGTATCCTCGTTGGTTCCCATTCCCTCCATGGCTTTCTTAAGTTGTTTGCACAGATATTCGGTTGGTGGACGCACCATAGCCACGATCACATCTTCAAAATGACCTCCAAGTTCGCTCTTCAAATCATCGATCAAATCCTAATACAGGAAAATGTAATATTATTCAGTGGCCTCTTAAATCAAGGGAGCCTCATAGTAGCGTTGGCCAGCCGTCCCCTCAAAATTAGAATTCATATCATTTTCGCTGGACGTTAGCCATGATTTGTAAACATATTGTATTTAGATTGTTTTATCTAATAAAAATGATATGTCAATATAGATTTTTATGTATTATAAGGTGTTAACTTAATTTATCTGTAAGGTCTTATATAACAAATAACGGATCATTAATCTTGTTATTGCTAAAAGACCGTTAGACAGTGGCCTTCAGTAACAATTGGAGCAATATTATTTTAATAATTTAAGAACTACTTTTTATTAGAAAATTGTACTATAATCAGTTGGCAAATTTAACATTAAAATTTAAACAATCAGAGCGTATTCATTTTCAAAACAATTATGATATAATTGAAAACACTGATAATTTTCTATGACAAAAAATTGTATTTTAATATCTCGACTATTGCTCACAGATGTTTTCAACCTATGGGTAACGTTAAATGTTTAATGTGTTGTGAAATGACAATTGGGTCGCAGTAAAGATACACCTAAGTAAATAATGTAAAACAAGGCGGATAAACTACTGGCAATATGTATTTAGAAGCATAAATGCAATCATTTATATTTATTTTTTTATATAAGAAAATATTAGGAAAAAATCATTATTAAATTAGTATTTTACTTAATTTTTACATCTATTTCTAATTTCAAACTGGACTAAAAGTATATAAAAGCAGTGGCAAATTATACATAAAGGCAATGATTCATCTGTCTAAGGGCCCTTATACTTAATCTACCACTGTATATATTATATAAAAAATAAAATACTTATATACTATATAAGTATCTTATTTTTTGATTATTGATTTTATGTAATATGTAATTATATTTGTCCGTAATAAAAATTAAAAGATATATCAAATGTGTTTGCTGTATTTACTAATATGAATGTGTGGCGCCTTAATGTCTGGACGAGCCTTAAAATGGCATGTTTTCTTTGATCGGCGAAAATCGATTGCGAACGACCTACATAGAGAAATATTAGCAATTCCCATACCCTGCTTAAATCGTTGGCAAAATAGTCGGCGATCTTTTGGCGCTGGGCATTTGATCTGTTGGCCAGGATCTCAATGATGGTATCTTCATCGGTACCAAAGCCCTTCATCGCCGATCTCAGAGCGATACCATCCTCCTCCGCGTTAAAACTATCGTAGGGGTAGACAGTGGGTTCTTTCTGCAACGTAAAAAACTCATTTTAGCAATACAATATTAGTTCCTTTGTGGGTGACCTCTATATATATAATTTATTTCAATTGAGTCATGCAAATAAAAATAATGAGCAATAATAATGATGGTTTGAATTCCTTCTCGTAGAGATTTTATTAAAATTACTTTGAAGGTTATATTAGAGAATGAGTCATAGGACGGAAAATCATTTAAAATAATAAACAGCAGCAGCAATCAAAGGGCAGATTGAAATTGGATTTAAAGCGAATTTACAGACTGATAATAGAATAAAGCGGACTTACGGTGTAAACCATATTTAGTAGATATAGTTTTTAGTTGATTCGGAAACGCTGATTGTTTAGGCAAACTATCGTGTTGACCTCCGAGTGAAAACTAGCTCCGCTCGCGTCGATTTCAGCCGGAGAATGCGGCCGCGGCGAATCTTCCAAGTGCAACAATCATGACGCGAACATTAGTCATTCGACTTTCGAAATAACAGGAAAAGATCGTAAGAATTACAAGAACCGTGACGACGTCTCCATAAACGAAAAAGGAAACAATTACTATGGTGAGAGAATGATTACATTGAGTAAAGTTCGGGAATAGTAAATTCTGTATTCATTTATTTTGTAATTAACAATAGCATAAATTAATTATCCTATTGAAAATATAAGATCCTCGTGAGGCTGCTGACCACGGAACCTATTTGCTTCATCTTGTCGAAGTTGCGATTGGATGGAACGTTGCTCTGGAAATCGATGGCCATCCGACGATTAACGAAAGTCAAAATCGTCATCAGGTCATTAACGGCGGATCTCTGCAGCAACTCGGCGCAAAGGCACTGGATCATCCAAGACCCATTATTGGGACTCCTGAAGGAGTAGTGACCTGTAAAAAAGATACCAATTCTCATCAGCATGATTTAAAGGTATCCATATTTTTTTTTTATTTGCAGAAATAGGATTGTATATTTCCGCTTCCGATTTGCAAACCAAAAGTTGAAAAGATGTTACAAAAATAAATCAAGTACTCTCTGATAATATGTCATTTAGATCAGTGCTTCTCAACTGTGGAAGTGCAGCACATATGAAAGTGCCGTGACGTGAGAAAGGTTGGAAAACACTGATTTAGTATATTCTATCGAATGTGATAATTTCCTGAAACAATAAAGAGATTATGCTTTTCTAAGCTTGGAGCCTTTCTTTCTAAACTATTCAATTAGTAATAGTTAGATCTTCTACATCAGGGTTTGTCAACCTTATTGCTGCGCGACCCAAATTGTACTGCGTCCCAATTACTAACAGCAATTATGCACTCTCACTTTTTGAACTTATTGCCAATCTCTTTATATTTGTTTTAACAATTCGCATTTTGTTGATTCTGCCGAACCACATAATATATAGTTTTAGTCAAATTGACCGATCACAATAGGTAGATAAAACAATATTTGTGCTGAGTAAATAAGTACTCAGCTAATAAACACGTACCTTCAGTGGTTGAATACATGATGAGGAAATCGGCCATAGCTGGTAATTTGTAAGTTTTCTGAGCTGAATCCTTCATCACTGGTGCTGCAAAAACGGAAACGCCGGCGTCCAATTCTTCACCTCGGCAAGCCTATGAAAAAAATATAATAGAAAACAGGCCTTCGCAATATTAAGCTTTATTACTTGAATGAAGACCAATTTAGGTTTTCCAGCTAGGGAAGGACATTTATCCCCGGAAAAGGGTAACCACAATTCATCTGGGGTGTATTCAGAGTCCCTCGCGTGTATTACACCTTTATCACCGTGAGACATGACAACAATCATTAGGCAATCGGCATCCGAATGATCTTCTCCGGCCACTAAAATATAAACCGTAAAATGTAAACCCGCAACCGTCGATAGTAAAATCGGCCGTTCCAATCTTACCATTATGAATGGTGTCATATATTTGCCCGTAGGTAAAATCCTGACACACCGTGACTTCAAAGTTCAACTTGCTTAAAGTCTTCGTGATATTCTCGCAATCCCTATTTGTTCCTTCCCTTTTTTGTAAGGAGGAATCATTAAATTGGTAATGGTTGAAGATCAAAGCCTTTCCCCTTCGGGCGTGGGTCATATCGTAAAAATCGCTGTCCGCTGCAACTACTGTTGGAATTACCTGGCACGGAATTTTCGCCGTTGATGATCCTCTCGCATCCTTTTCATCCTCTTTATTTCTAAGGAAAGAAGAAATCGTATTCATTTTACTTCTTTTTTTAAGTAGCAATTATATCAATGTGAAATATATCATATTAATTAACATACTATCTCTATAACAATAATAGTTAAATAAGAAAATCTGCTATCAGTTTATTTACATTATAAAGTAAAATGCTTCCTATTTATTAAACTGATAACATTTTTGTGATATTGATATTTTGTTTATCAACAATTTGTCATCAACCTGAATGTCAAAATATATAGTAATTCTATTCTTCATCAAGGATAAACAGTAAAATACGACTAAACTATTTATTTCTCATTTTTGAGCTATCGACCGTAGTTTATCTGCCAGATGAAATTATTTAACACAATATGGACATTTATCTTACTTGCTAAAAAAAGGGAATTTCCAGCCAAACCCATCAACGTCAGTTTTCTCCATGCTTAACAAATATGAACCTATCTCTCGCGTTGCTATTGTTGAACTAAACTAATATTTCAGACCATTTGAATCGATCACCTTATCTAAGCCAAGATAGCATATTATTTTCATAATAAGTAATATCCAAAACAGATAACGCAATCTATAATTCTGATGTTTTCTTTTTTCTCTATATATTAATATGCAAAAGCTCTTCCTGCTTGATTTTTTATGCTAATTTTGTCTATATTTTATACCTCTAATAATGTAGAAATTTCGTGGAAAACAACATATTCGTTAATCGAAAATGACTTCATAATGTTCTAATAAATAGCACATTTTTTTGTCAAATAACATAAAATAAATTAGCGTTCCAAAAGTTTGCAGTAAAAACACAAAAAATATCAAGAAACAGCAGTATATCATTGTAAACCAATGATATCACATTAGATTAAATCAACACAAACAAGTCTCGTACAAGTTAAATATATATTTGTATAGGACAACATACGTAGTAAACAGTATTAATCAATAAAATATTGAAATGGAATAATCCCATATGAATTAACAAATCTATTCAATATATTATCTTTCGAAAGATATAAACAATATTAATCCGATAACCCACTCATGTAAAAAATTAAAATTTTAAATATCTACTATAATGAATTGAATAAGTTACAAAAAAATGTATTTATTTTTAAAGCATCTCTACGTATAGTTTGTGTTTGTATTTTTAAGCATATTTAAGGTTCTTTATTCTGATAATAGCATGTAATTTACTGAATTTCAAATCAATTTCAGTTTCAAAAATATTTCATTGAATTAAATCTTCTGCGTTTTCTTATCCTTAATCGTGACTCTTTGTTTAATTAATTAAATAAATACATTTTATAAGAACCGATGCTCAGCATGGCAATGCATAGATAGCCAATTTCGTTTCTTTTTTACTCGAAAATTGAAAGTGTAGATCCCAAAAAAATAAAGTTCTTCAATGGTACGTCAAAACTGCATTTAGGAATGAAATCTCTTTGATTTTGGATGACAGGACGATATGAAACAGCCAACTAGATATAGTTAAATTATATTATATTAATATTATATTATATCTGTTAAAATTTTAAGTTGATTTATAAATTGTCTGCGCAAAGTACTTACTCTAAGCAGTGAATTTAAATCAGAATGAATTTTACATATTCTAGATCGGCACACAAACTTTTCAGATGTTGTCCAATTATGTACAATCCATTAGACTTTGATATGCATCAAAAATGATTATAATTTATTTCAGTTCACTTAATATGTCATTACTAAAACTATTATCTGAATTTAATAAAATTGATTAAAAAAGAAATCGCTGTGGAGAGTATTTCATATTGACTTATAACCACCTTCTGACAGTAAAACTTATTAGTGTCTGCACCGGTAATATTCGACCAAATCTGAGTAATTATTTCTAGTTTTGCTTATTTTTGGTTCTGGAACATTATTTTCATTAGGATTCTTTGATGCCGAGAATAAAACTACATTTAATTATTAGTGGTTCGTAGTTTCGTTCAAGCATATTTGCAGGCAGGCGAGTAAGGGCGCTTTTAAGAATTCTGGGATACAACTATATTTCATTGTAGTATTAGAGCATGATACAAATATATAATAATAAAATTAACAATTCCGGGTCTCAATTAAACGTGCTACGAGTTAACCGTTTTAGTATTTACTTATTTTATAAACTAAACAATACAATTATCTCAGTAAATCTGCCGTTTAGTAAATAATTTTACAAAACATTCAAAAATTACAGATTATCTTTTAGATAATCTGATTAAAAATTTGTTTTTGTATATCAATACATAGATATAACTTTTTAACACGTATAATCGGCATTTTACTGTATATTCACGGACCACCGTGATAAATGTAATATGGTCAAGTCATATACGTATTTACACAGATGGTAATGTGATACATGGCCCCACGTCATCTGCCTAAAAGATGTGGAGGAAGTCTTATCTGACAACGGACGGATACCAAAGGTTTCCTCGAAATTCACAGCCGAGCTATAATCCATATACAGACTGCTAAATCTAATTTTGTCGAAAAGTGCGTTGGACGGAATTCATCCTCGCAGTATTCAGTTAAAATAAATTATATTATTCTCAAAATCAAAGATAAGTTAAATCTCTTGGAAAGCACTGGGTCGGAGGTTTTGTTGTGCTAGATACCGGGACATGCTGGAATCCTGGACAACAAAGAGGCGGATGCGTTGGCGAGTTATGGTCACATGGCCAATATCATGGCCCAACCTGTTCCGTTCTCGGATATTAATGATATTATTCATAGGGAGGAAATAGAAACACACTGACAACACTGATCAGATTGCGAACGGACCACGGCAGATCTGCAGCTCATCTTTTCAGGATGAATTTGGTGGATTCACCGCACTGTGAGTGTGGAATGATATCCACCGCAAATCATATCTTCTTCGGATATGAAGTAACCGTGTTCCGATAAAAGTTCTTATGAGGAGACTAATCATTCATAAATGTCACTCTCCGACCTCAATAGAAGTCCTGTTAAGAATAGAGGACATTAATAGATTAATTTTAAATTTTATTAAAAATTCTGGCTGTGTTATTTATTATAATGTATGTATTCTGTTTTACATTGCTTTTATCTATTTATTGTTACGTCTTATTAATTTTTTAATACATTTTACTTACCTATCCGAGACCCTTCACACTGTGATAAGAGTTGATAGGTCCTTGCTCGTGAAAAGTTTATATAAATGTTTAGTTTTATTTGGTTATATATGTCATATTTATGTATAAATTATTATGTTGACTTCGTTTAAGTACGTTTTTAATGATAAAAAAGTATTAATGTATTTTTATTTAACTTGTTTATATCCTTTATTCGTTTGTTTGTACTATACATTGGCGCATCATGACTTTGTGAGGCCCTAGCGCATGTTCTTCCTAGAAATTCGCACAATACATACATAGATATTTAACTTGATACAAAAATTTTACAATAAATACTATACTACATTTAATTTTATGTAATCATAATAATTATTATAAAATAATGACCAATTACTGTGATACCTACGCATAATTCAATGAATACAAAAGTTTTATATTTGGTACGATATTTAACAGCGCAACATGAATTTCTTATTTAAGACCGCATTTTTAATTAATATAAGAGTTGAAAAACTTTGCTCACATGAATATGTCCTCAAAAAATAAATTTGTGTTAGTCAGCGTTGTCGGCAATGCAAGGATATTCTTTCTTAACAGACATAATTTATTGCATGGGTTGCAACATAATTTTTAATCCAATCGTATTATTCCGTATAAATGTTATTGGCCAAGATCCACAATTAATTGCTTGTTTTCAATCGTACTATGGTTGGTCCTTTGATACATCTCTAAACATCCTTTTTGCAACTCTTTCTGTAAACGTTCTAGTTTTTTTTTAACCCCTGTAATTTGTTGGAGCACGTCAATATATTCTCATCCCGACCTTGCATTTATTTATTAAGTTCATTCAGATGCTCGAAAATATCAGCAATGTATGCAAGTTTAGCTATCCAGTAATCATCATCGAGGTGCTGGTATAATTCGGGCATATTTTGATCTAAAAGAAACTCAAGTTCATCGTAGCGAAGCTTAAACAATCTAGCCAACGAATTTCAGTATAAAATAAGGAAATCATCGATTACTCAGAAAAAATATTTATTTAGAAATATTGTCTTATTTCACAGCATCACACCTGTATCGGCTCAAGGCACACCAGGTCTACATACACCGTCAGTTGTGAGCCAAGTTACATACTTCCATAATAAATATATTTTTTTAATTATAAAGAGATTTATATCAATTTTCCATAATAATTATTAAAACAAAGTCTAAAAAAAATCATGAATAAACAATAATATGAGAGGGGGCTGACCCACCATACGAAATTACTGGAATTATATTTATTATATATTTTTGTTGCAGTTCACTTAATATGTGATTATACCTTATAAATTTTAATTTTTAAATCTTAATAATATACATTAAGATCTTGTCGTGAACCGCGCTACTCTAGCTGCACTATTTTTGTTATAATTATAGTTATAAACCAAACTTTATAACTTCTCTTAATAGGAGAAAAAAGAAATGAAATGGATTTTATATTAAACAATAGTTAAATTCAATAATCCGGTTACTCATGAATAACAAAGTAATTAAAATGTTAAATATCATGAAACAAATTGTCTATCATTAGACAATATTTAAAGAATGTAATTATTTCAATTTAAAAAATTAAAGTTAAGGACTTCAGAAAAAAAATTCTCACTCAAAAATTAAAATGTTCTTTTTACTTAATTTTAAATCACTCAAAATGAAAATAACCAGTGACCAATTGTAAAATATAAGAATAAATTGAAGTTTGAAATATCAAACTATAATATTCTAAACACATAGAAAGAAATGTACATACATTTTTGCAGAAAAAAAGAAGCAATATCACAGAATATATAAAATAAGGGAATATATTAGTGATAATAATTAACGAATAAAAGTTTTCTTGGAAGTTAATACCGACACATCCTGAGTAGCATCCATGATACTCGAGTGTGAACTGTTAATGGTCAAATTATTTTCCAGCAGCTTCTGTTGAACATTAATAGGTTTACTGATGAACTTCTTCTCGTGTCTGATAACCTCTGGCTTCGTGAATAAAAGCTTCTCGATCTTTCCTCCAAACTTGATTTCCTTTTCCTTCGTTAAACATTTCTTGCTGGCAGGCCTGTAGACTACGTCTGGCAAAGCGCAAAATTTTTGTTTGGTCGAAGGGCTTTTCGCGACAATCTTCTTTGGTAATTGGTCCATCATGCGAAGATTGACGTTCTTTTGAAGAGGAGTCGCACTGCTCTTGATATAAACAGCAACCGGACTGACTATTTCCCTGAAGTTCAACGCGTTCCGTTGATGCATCGGTGTCGGGCTTCTTCTCATAGGCCTCATGGGTTGTTTGAAATCTGGGGTCACCATCAGCTGCTCCATTTGTGGCTTCACAGTCTTCAGAATATTGTACTCATTTGGTGGCTTAAGTTTGGACTCATAGCTTACTTTTTTAGCACTGCTTTTTTCAACTGGTGAATTGAGTTTCTCACTGGGAGAGTCATAATCAAGTCCTTCATTTAACGCTCTATTAATTTCTTCAAGTGTATCATCAAAAACATATTCTGATCTGTCATTTTCTTTGTTTTCTTCATACATATTTTCATCATCACTCATTGATACATCTTCATTATTTACAATGTTGTAAACAGAGTTTTCAGCCTTATTTTCATCTCCAATACTATACACATCATTAGGAGTATTTCTCATGCATTTATATTCAAAACTAGCTTCAGAATCATTATGGCTATCTTCTAAAACAGCAGCTTTATTATTAATTTTGTGCAGATCCGTGTCTTCAATACATGATATATCTTCATATTGAGATTGAGTTCCTTGAAATCTTAATATTTCATTTTTTTCCTCAATCTTTTCTTCAATTGATATCTCAGCATTATCGAAATTCTCCTCAATTTCTGACATTATCCTTTTATTTGATTTACCTAATTCAAAATCTTGTTCATTATCATCAGATATATTTTGACATTCAGAAGTATCTGCAAATGTCTGTTCTATTTCATGAACTTCTAATGACTCATCATCAGATATTTCAATTACTTCAGACAATTTGATCTGTTGAAATGCTGAATCCACAAAATTCTCTTGTTTTGTGTTTAAATCATCTTCATAGTCACTATTATCAACACTTAATTTCTGGATAATATTCTCAATATTATTAGTGATCTCTTTATCTTCATCTTCATCAGATGATTCAATAGGTGCTAGTGTCATCTCAACGTTATCAATTAAATCAGTACATTGAACTCGGTTGCCCATCAATGTAACATTAGAGCCAACTTTAAAATTTTTCTTAGTGAGCATTATAGAATCAAGGGTGCTTTTCAATTTATCTATAATTGCTATACTTTGTGGCAACAGACTTTCAGTGGACAAATCAGTAGTGGCTGTGACAAATGTTACAGGTTCAGTGTCATCTAAAATCTTAGAAATTTCTTCACAAAATCTTGATGTATTTGGTGCTTCCACATCCTGACAAAATTGTGAAGTGTTTGCTGCATCAACTTTTTCTGGAAGCATAGTTTCATTTGGAGTATAATATGTAGATTTAATGGAAAGTTTCGACACATCTTCAATTATATCTTTTATATGATCAGGCTCTGGAGTTTGTACCATGCTTTCCTGTTTTAAAGGTGAATTATAACTAAAAAATATTTAAATTGACAATTATATTTAAATCAGTTATCAAATGATTTGAACTTACCCAATTGTTCTTCTGCGATTTATATGATCTCTATCAATCGGTCGTTTTAAGGACCTTTTTATTTCTCGTAACGTAGGTGGCCCCCAGCAAACATCATCATCGCTAGAATAATATTGCTCCATGTTAATACTGTATTCAATGTAAACACAACCACAAAGATTCAAAAAATATTTGTTTTAAGCGTTACTTGAGTAACGACCACTTGAAGCGACTGCAATGAAATTTAACGGCTTTTTTTGGAAGTTTAAATTGTTGGTTCTCTAGCGAATAAAACATGGAACTAAATACGTCAAGTGGGTTGCCTGCAATTTAGGAAATTGTTCAGTGTATAAATGGTTGTATTTTTGTGTTGTCTTGTTGACATAAGATTTTTTTTGTTTTCACGATAATTGAAGAAAAATTAAAGAATTTATTAAAGATGAGTGGAGATCAATCATTAATAGAGAAGAGAACGATTCATTCCGGTACTCAGGGTGCATCTTTTAAAAACGGCACGAAGGTTACTGAATAATTATGCTAAATTTGGGGTTATCTTATTATTGACCATCGTAGGTGAAATTCCATTTCCAAACGAGGAAAAATGATGAAAAGAAAACACTTATTGATGACTCTAAAACCATGGGCGCTGGAAAGCCCATGGAATTGGTTTTGGGAAAAAAGTTTAAGTTGGAAGTTTGGGAGGTCATCGTCCAGAAGCTGGCTTTAAGGGAAGTAGCTGCTTTTGTAGTTGACAAATCTGTATGGCCATTTAATAAATATATAATTAAATATAACTAAACAAGGTATATTTCAGTTGGTTTCTCAATATCCATTTGTTTCTAAAACATTAAGGGACTTGGATAAAAAGGAAGTAGGTCATATGTGTGCCATGACAATTCAAACAGAAGGTCTTGGTTTTGAAGATCTTAATGATCTAATGAAAAATCCATGTGATTTGGAATTTACATTAGGTAAATTTAAATTGGATAAGCTTTAATTATTATTTAAATTACTTTTATGTAGAGTTACTGGAAGTTTCCCAGCCAGGGGAATATGAAAAAGAGACTTGGCAGATGTCAGAAGGTGAAAGGATTGATATGGTGCCAATGTTGAAGGAAAAAGGAAACAATGAGTTTAAATTGAAGAACTACCAGGCAGCAGCAGAATATTATACCAAAGCAATTGCCATTTTAGAACAACTCATGACAATGTAATTAATTCTTTTTTTTACTACTAACTGAATCATATAGATCAGGGACGGCTAACACTGTTCGCGAATGGTTGAAAAACGGATTGTTATTTCAATAGATTAAGTAGAAAAGTAGATCGTAATAATCTATAAAGTTTTGATTTTCAATGAACAATTAAAATCAAAAGTGAAACTTTCATTAAGGAATTAATGAATCTAATTAGTACAGGAAGAATAGTAACTGTTGTTGTTAGAAGAATATTCTCCTAAATGGCCTTCTTTCAATAATATTTGTTTTTTTAGAGAGAAACCCAGAGACGTGGAATGGAACATTATAAACGAGAAGAAACTTCCAATTCTGCTAAATTACGCATTGTGCAAATTGTTCGAGGGAGACTTTTATACGGTGATCGAACATTGTACGACCGTATTAGAATCGGAACCAGGTCTATATTACAATTTTATGCGTAATAACTATTAATATAATAACACATTATTTCAGATAATGTAAAAGCGTTGTACAGAAGAGCCAAAGCTCATGTCGGTGCCTGGAATCCCGATTTAGCCAGACGGGACTTCAATAGGGTCATTGAACTGGATACCAAATTGATTTCGACTGTGAAAAAGGAATTGAACCTACTGGACGAAATGATCAAGACGAAGAATACGGAGGATAAAAATAAATTGAAAAGATTATTTTCTTAAAGTGGAGGTTTCTTCACGCATTATACAAGTGTACTGATTACCAATAATTTTTGTAATACCTATATTTGTTAAGAAGTTATCTTTCTGACGAATCTTAGATCAGGATATTCTTCAGTCTTGTGTTTTAATTTCTATTTTTATAATTTATGTTTGATGCGTATTAAGAGGTTTTGTTTTTACTTAGATAAACCAGATAGATGTTGCATTTAAATTATCTTGGCACTTCAAATATTTAAACTGTGGAGATAAGTTTTGTTCGTAAAACAATTATATCTAATCTCGGGGCATGAAAGAGAGCACGCCAGATTCGATGCTCGTTGCAGGTGGCGACGGTAGCGGCAAAATGATGTTGCGGTTTCTTGTAGTCTCAGTCCTCTCCTTTATGTTGGGTAATTAATTTGTTTCTATATGTAAATGCAGAATGCCTTATGTTTGTCTTCATTTTTTCAGTTGAATCAAAGTTTTCTTGGAAAATAATTGGCGGTGAGAATGCATATGAGGGTTTCTTCCCGTATCATGTTTCTGTAAAATTGAAAGGATCCCATTTGTGCGGCGGATCGATTGTTACCACGAAATGGATCATCACTTCTGCTTCTTGCGTACAGGACGTCGATATTTCCAGCCTCAGTGTAGTTGTCGGTTCAATTAAAGTGAACTCTGGCGGTTTTACTTACAAAGCTGAGAAGGCCATATATCACGAGTACTACGATCCTTATCTAAATGACTTTGATATTGCCGTCATTAAATTGAAAGAATCAATTGAATACGGTGACTTCGTACAACCCATAGGACTAACCGATCGTCCTGTATCTGGTGAAGAAGATAGTATTTTGGTGGGCTGGGGTTCCAAGTCTGAATACTTTTCGGAAGATCTGCAGTACATAATAGCTAAAACGATCAGCCGGGAAAAATGCGAGAACATGCACTCGTCTAGCTTAATTTCGGACTCTCATATTTGCACTTACACGCCATCGGGAGGCACTTGCCTTGGTGATACTGGCGGACCGTTGGTGGACATTTCCGAAGGTAAATTAATCGGGATTATCTCCTGGATGCGGCCTTGCGTAATTGGAACTCCTGATGTTTATACGAGCATCTACCATTTCCGTAGCTGGATTTTGCAACAAATCACTAAGTGATTCACATATATAATGTATATAATAATGTAATTGTACCTAAACTTAATATACAATATTAAAATCTTTATTTTAAAATATGAACAAAACTATATATTACTTATTTTCGACAAATTTATAATATTATTGAAAACATACATACGACCCAATTGAAAACAAATTTATTTTTTATCGATTCTTAAATTTTGAATATTGTAATGCATAATTGTCGCACAATCGTAAGTGGCTAACAACATAACATTTTTTTAATTAAACAATTTTACAACTTTGTTCGATTTCTATTTTTTTTAACAGTTTTTCGCCCTTGTATAAAGTTACAAAAAGTATAAAAAACATATCAGACAAGATATACAAAAATAGTTAAAAAAAGAAAGAAGAACATACAATAAAAAAAGAAAAATATATTCAACGTGGGTTTAAAGATAAACATATAGGAGGCTTCTGTTCTACTAATAACCTCCTCAATTGAACTTGTAGGCGACTCTGGATCAGAACGCTCGTGAATGTGTTAGTGTAGTGGTTATGAATGGTAATAGGTGGATGCAACCTATTATTCATATTCTTCTTATATTATTATAAAAATAAGTAGCAGGGCTTTTCCAAGAGGGAATCAGCTCTTGCATGCAATAAAAAATTATAAAAATAGTAAACAATAATCTTAAGTAATATCTGATATAATAACATTAATGCCAGATTAATTTGCTGCAAAAGGTTAGTGACCATAGGTTTTTTGTAATATTATGTAAGAATTTGTATAATTTTAAAATAACAGTTTGGAGATATTTGTTAATTTAATGTATTTTTTACAAATGTCTTTCCAATTCAAAAGTTTGGCAAATCCACATGTTTGAAAACTAATTTTTGATTCCAAATTCATCTGTAGTTCCATTAATTATTCTTGCAAGGAGCATAATCAAAATATAACTGATCAAACTTCAACAAAACTCACTTTTTCCTATTAATTTTGTTTACATATTATTAAATAATGAAAATATGTACTTTTTGATTCAATCAATTTTGTTGCCATAGACAATTTTCAAAATTCATGTAATAGAATTCAGAATTAAAGATTTCAAGGAAACGCTGCAAACAATTACCTTTTGGCAACGTATGCAGAAGTAAATGTTTATAAAATTCATCATTATTTTTGTATCATTGCTCAAAAATTTCATATAACATAATACTCTCAGCGAGCATGAACACACTAATATCACACCCATTTTGGAACGCATTACCATGTTGTTTACCTCCAGACCACTCCCGACCTTCCAGTCTCTGTTGCATTTTAAGAGTCGGAGGTTAGTCTTTCTCCTTACGAGCACAAATTGTCAACTAGTGTGTATTTTTTTATGATATTTTGTACATTATATTATTATTATTTCCCAGGCAAAAAGACCTATGGTCAATAGCCCTTTGCAGCAATTCAATTTAGTTTTATTTTTGTTATTGATTGTATTTGATATATGAATATTAAATATACCGCATTTTTCGGACTATAAGATGCACCTTTCTACATAGAAAATTGGACTCATATTTTGAGTGTGTCTTATGGTCCGAAAGTAACATTAAAATATGTTTTTCTATAAATCGTCTCTAAATCGCCTTATCGGCCGGTGCGTCTTATAGTCTGAAAAATTCGGTATGAATAAAACTATTATTTCAATTAATTATTTAAAAACATATCATTTTTCGTAGACTACAAGGAATCTATATTTTTCGTAAATATTTTTTGAATATCCACATTTAGCCAAATGATGGTTTATTGAGTTTTCACTCAGAGTTTCATATTCTGTTCTACTATGAAATATTAAGAAACGCTGGTATAAACAATATTTGAACCAATATGATATACATCCTGTAATTTGTACAATTTTCCTCATTTTAGGTAAATTATATGTTACAAATATATTTGTGTTTTGAAAAAAATATGCATTGAATTTACATAATTACCTACACATTCGCACTGAAACAATGAATAAGACATACTTATAAGATTTGATTTATAAATATGTATTTTCATTAAATAAATATTGTTATGGCATTTTTTTTATTTAAACTGCTACATTAATTAAATTCTATTAAAAATCATTAAGATAAATCTACTATTTGTTTTGTCATTTGTTTACAATAATACGTATTGAATTCTTGTTACACTTGAAACACATGATATTAATAGATTTGCAACTGTATTCTCAATAGTATCTAATCTTTTAAATTTTTACTAGTTTTTCACTCTCATTCAATTTTCGGTATATAAAGCTGTAGCATGTTGTGGATGGATCAACAAATACCATGATCAAGTTCGTGATTTTAGTTGCCACTCTGGGCTGTGCCTTTGGTAAGAAGACTTATTTTCATTTCTTATTTTATTATATAATGAGATATAACATAATAAACAGCCGCCTCCGCCGATTTGGATTGGAGAATTGTCGGTGGTGAGAAAGCTGAAGATGGTGCTTTCCCATACCAGATCTCCTTGAGAAGTTATGGAAGCCACTCTTGCGGTGGATCCATCATCAACGAAAACTGGATTTTGACCGCTGCTCACTGCGTACAAGGTGCCTCCGCTTCCTCCATGTCTGTTGTCGTTGGATCTAATAAATTGAGCGCCGGTGGTGAATCTTACAAAGTTTCAAAGGCCATCTACCACGAGAACTACGATCAATTCC